CTAACGATTTGCCAGGTGCGCGTTAGTCACAAACAGTTTACGAATTATTCCTCTCGTTTTGCATTATATAATCAATGGTTTCATTCTTTTTTCAATATTGTGATCACAGGTTAGTAAACAGTTTACTTTACTTCTCCAGGAATTGTAAAATGTATAAAAATAAAACCCATGCCAGGTACCCCGTTGGTTCAAACGTATACGATTATCCTGATAATTCTATACCAATAGAGCTTTCTTTGCATCTTTTATTGTGTAAGCAAAAATAACATAATCATGAACAAATATATGTCCAATATTGAATATAATTTTGGTTGTTTTGAAATGTTCTTTTGGGAATTTCATTACGTAAATTGATGCCAAACAGGTGCGTGTCTTGTCCAATTAAGATACACGATAAACTATCTAATTGTCTACATATTCAAGACATTATCTACTTGGTGAGAGCAGTCATTTTATGTTGTGTCGAAAAAGCGTCAAATTCCGTTCCACACATCAAGATTTTCCATAACATGAACGAAAATTAGGGGAGATATATATTAATCAAAATACCAGTGTCGTCTTTTTCCGACGTTATCAAAGACATAAAACCAGCAATGACGTCAAAAGGAATGGTGTTATTTTGAGGGTATTTCATTACATTTGATGATAAGGCTTGTGCTCCATTAATAATGATGCAACATTAGTCAAATTACACTTACACAATCAGGAGAATGTTGGAATCTAAGGACTAAATTATAGGTTAGATAAGGCCATCCATTTCTCTATTACCTCCTATTTATGAAGTACGACATCATTTCTTATGGGTATATTTTATAACTAAACGTGTACAGTTTCAATATCGATATTTGTGTTGGAATAGTTTGGTTCATCCTGAACAAAACACCACGAAAATATATTGTCCTTACCCACAGCTAACTCTCACCAAGTGACCTGAGTTACAACAAACTAGAGCTAAGCATAGCGGAGTTATGCCCCCTTTTCTCTGTACGCGTGTAACCTCTCTGTCACCTTTTGACGTCATAGAGAAAAATCAGTTTTCGTCATTTACGGCATGCTATTTTTGGAATTGAATGTATGTCGTTATACATACGCAAATAACTCCATTTGATGCGTAGTTATGTCGTTCAGATATTAGGCAGTATTTTGTTCGCTCACAGTTTCCGTAAAGCTTCTTAAGAAAAATATTTGTCGCACAGTACTTTTATCGGTGTACGATAAAAAGCCGAGAAATTTACTGTTTTTCAACGCAGAATAAATTCTCGGACAACACTTAGGAGTGTCAGTTTTTAAAACCGGTTTGATATTTACAGTTAAATTTACACCATCAAATGGGAAATTTAATATTCTCCACCTCTGCGTAATTTTATAGCCAGAGGTAGATCGAGTGCCGCGTGAGCGCAATTCTCGCACAACCTTCACTTTTCCGATCTTAGGAAAATGTGCGTCAGAAAAAATACTCGGCATCCAGAGGGTTAACGTTGCCCTGAGCACTATTCCAGTCACGTGTCAGCTTGACGTTGACTGGGAGCCCAGCGTGACGTCCCAGTTGTTGACGTTCGTCTCTTGGTGAAGCCATAGAGCAAGGGTCCATGCTGATAGACCAAGGGTCGTGATCGGTACTGGTGCCAAGGTTGAGGGACAATCTCAGCACAGCGAGATGCAGTCTTTGATCAATTTTGTTGAGAATTACAGTTTTCGTAGATAGATTTATTTAATTGTCCAAATGAAAGTTCTGAAAACACACGCTCCGTAATCGACTTCCAAAACAAACCTGTTTGGGACATAAAGCTACCGGCGCAGCGTGGACAACTTTTTTCATTGGCTGATATTTTTGCCGCGTTTACCTTGTGATTCTTATCCGTTATACATATACTGTTTCTGCATTTTCTGTTAATCCTACAAACATATCAACATTGCACACATTGTCGAATGTGTGAAACGGCCTTTACTCCTGACATTGTCTATAATTAAAATAACAATCAACAATCGTTAACTAGTGTTTTATTTCTGCCATCATTCTTGGGTATAAAACACCAATGCAATAGCCGTAGGCGCTATTCCACACAACCAATGCCTGTCAGGGATTAATGCCCTGAAAATACAACTGAAGGCAGCTGCGATGTTGTTAGTACATGTACTTGTCACTTAGATGGCCACGGCAATCAAGTGGGTGAGTATTAAATAATCCGCGGAGGCTGAAGCAGGCAGACTGGGCATCGGCCCTATCGTATTGATTGTTATAACAGCGCAGCGCGTCAAACGCCGGGAACCCGATTAACCCCAATAAGCGGAATCCCAACCTGCAGTGACCATTTTGTTTGTTTGGGGGACGATTTCGCCTGTCGTTTTTTATCGTCAGCTTAACGCAATATCCCTTTTTCAAATCCAATTTTGGTCAAACATTTGTGATTAAGTGTGCCCTAAAGTATACAAATCTGCAAAGTTGCTATATTGACTTTACTTGCCCTTAAGAGGAGCAGGGATGGCCCTGGGGTCTGGGGCCTAGTGCTACACAACTCGTTGTATATTGTTGCGTCCCTTGTCCGCGCCAGGAACCACTGATTCATGGTTCCGATTATGGTCCTTGTTTTGTCAGCACCTACCCCGTGGGAGGTGCGACATTTAGTTTTCCCTGACACACTGAGCCCTGGTGCAAGTCAAAAATATACACAGTAAAAATAGTGTTGCACCCCCACATTAATACGTTTGATACATCACAACATTTAAAACGCCCGACTCTGGTTTTAATGGTAGGTATTCCTTGGGGATCTGATGTTAAATGTGTAATGTTTTCGGAGGGAAGATGATCACCAAAACGTAGCAATCAGCACGTGAATTGCATGGTGCATGACATTTGCAGATTGCAGTATCTTCTTAAGCTCAACATCGCCTATAAAAGATGTTCTCTGACAGCCCAGTTTATTGTAACCCACAATGCCGGGTAGACGATTGTCAGAAGCAGTCAAGTGGCAGATTATTGGCCTTCATGGAGCAGGTCTTTCGTTCAAGGAGATTGGCAGAAGAACCGGACATCACTACTCAACAATAAGCCGTTTGGTCAGAAAACACGCACAAACTAATGATGTAAGGAATCGCAGACCCTCTGGCAGACCACGTAAGACCACAGTTAGAGATGACAGAGCGTTGTTGAGGGTGGTAAGGCGTCATCCATTTGCTACAAGCACAACCTTGAAACGTCTTTGGCTTCCTCGTCAACAGTTCAGTACCCAGACCGTGAGAAATCGTCTTAAAGCTGCAGGGTTGAAGTCCAGAAGGGTTATCAAGCGACCTAAACTCACAGACAACCACAAACGACTACGTCTAGCCTGGTGTAGACTGAGACAGAACTGGAACTTGAGGTCCTGGAGAAGAGTCCACTGGTCGGACGAAAGCAGGTTCCTTCTGCATGTTGTGGATGGCAGAGTGAGAGTATGGAGGCGTCCTGGAACAGCTTATACTGCCAGAAACATCATGCCAACTGTACCATATGGAGGTGGATCTGTTATGGTCTGGGGATGCTTCTCATTTGATTGTAAGCTTGATTTAGTGACCATACGAGGCAACTTGACAGGGGAGCGCTACATCCAAGAGGTGCTGAATCCAGTTGTGGTGCCCCATTTTGACAATCATCCACTGGCCACCAGACCGATATTCATGGATGACAATGCCAGACCACATCGTTCACGAGCTGTGACCCAGGTTATCCACAACAATGCTCTGACGCAGATTCCATGGCCAGCAATGAGTCCAGATCTGAATCCTCTGGAACATGTATGGGACATTTTGGGACGCCTGATTTATCGTCGGGACCCTCCTCCACAGAACTTGCGTGAATTGGAAGCAGCATTACACGAGGAGTGGCAGCAGCTGCCCACGGAGCGATTTCAACGTCTGGTGAGGAGTATGAGACGAAGACTTCAAGCTGTGATCCAAGTGCTTGGTGGAAGTTCTCGATATTGACTTACTGTGTTCGTCAAATATCCATATGACATTCTTACCCTATTGGATGAATTTGGTCACTAAAAATTATTGAGATGTCACCATACTTAATGCGTCTTCGTTGTTCGTTCATTTTTCGTAAAAGTTCAGCATGAGATTATTACATGCCATAAGGTTTGTTGGTTTGTTGGTATACACGACATCCTGGTTATAATATTAATTCGGTTATCTTTACACCCTTTCAAAACACCCCTCCATGAAAAAGTATAGGGGGTGCAACACTTTTTTTACTGTGTATAGTTCATAGCAGTGTTAAACCCATCTCACTCCACTCAAAGTGTTATGACGTGTAACATATACATTCACTTACGACTACCATAATAGAAAAATTACAGGCTATAACATTAAGGGCAGTGCTAACGGAACATAGACACACATTCTGAGACACACTTAGCCATCTTCAGACATATTACGTGTCTCATAAAACATAGATTGGGATACACCCCTGGTGGATTACCGTGTCCCTACTTCAGTCAGAACAAACAAACAAACAACGATCACTTTGCATAGTTTGCCCCGTGGGGATTCCGGGTTAAGAGTGAGTGAGTGAGTATGGTTTTACGCCGCTTTTAGCAATATTCCAGCAATATCACGGCGGGGAACACCAGAAATGGGCTTCACACATTGTACCCATGTCGGGAATCGAACCCGGGTCTTCGGCGTGACGAGCGAACGCTTAAACCACTAGGCTACCCGACCGCCCTCCGGGTTAAGAAAAGGCCCTAAACAACCTATGTTGATTGTAAGAGCGACTACTGGATCGGGGGGGGGGGGGGGGGGGGTCAGGCTCAGTGACTTGGTTGATAGCATACCTCCAACCCCGATCGTGTGGATTGTTATCTCTCAATATCGATCACTCGATTGTCTGGTCTTGACTCGTTTATTTACAAAAAATCTGATCGGCATCACGCCTGTATCCATAGTTGTACCCCATGCAAGTATACAAATAACCGAAAGCCAAAAACTTCCTCCGTAACAACACTGTAATGACACTCTCTTACCTTGTACATAACTGTGTTTAAGTGTCCATATGTTCAGTCAGTCCTTTTCCACGTGGACAGGATCTCCTGCGACACACTCTGCTGGCGTTAAGTACAAATACAAACATTAAAGGATTTAACCAAGCTGATGACATATGAACCAAGGGCAGACTACTCGGGTGGGGCGGGGTGGTTACCACGCCTCATGTGCATGTTTACCTGCAGTGTTTCTGCAAGAACATACCGTCGAATCTGGACCAGACAAACCAGTCGTTAACAGCCGGAGCAGCGATCCAAGCAATCGTTGTACGATGATATAAACAACGTGGTCTTGCACTCTAAACAAACCTGCGTTAGTGGACTCTGGTGACTTGCGTGAGATTCCTTGGACCCTTCCATGCTGCCGAGTGCCCACTAAGATCAGTCTCTATTTCTATACAAATACATTATGTTATACACGCTATCATCTAGAGAGATGTGACTTTTCTCTATACAAATACATTATGCTATACACGCTATCATCTAGAGAGATGTGACTTTTTTCTATACGAATATATTATGTTATACACGCTATCATCAAGAGGGATGTGACTTTTCTCTATGCGAATATATTATGCTATACACGCTATCATCTAGAGAGATGTGACTTTTCTCTATACGAATACATTATGCTATACACGCTATCATCTAGAGAGATGTGACTTTTTTCTATACGAATATATTATGTTATACACGCTATCATCTAGAGGGATGTGACTTTTCTCTATACGAATATATTATGTTATACACGCTATCATCTAGAGATGTGACTTTTCTCTATACGAATACATTATGCTATACACGCTATCATCTAGAGAGATGTGACTTTTTTCTATACGAATATATTAAGTTATACACGCTATCATCAAGAGGGATGTGACTTTTCTCTATACGAATATATTATGCTATACACGCTATCATCTAGAGAGATGTGACTTTTCTCTATACGAATACATTATGCTATACACGCTATCATCTAGAGAGATGTGACTTTTTTCTATACGAATATATTATGTTATACACGCTATCATCAAGAGGGATGTGACTTTTCTCTATACGAATATATTATGTTATACACGCTATCATCTCGAGAGATGTGACTTTTCTCTATACGAATATATTATGCTATACACGCTATCATCAAGAGGGATGTGACTTTTCTCTATACGAATATATTATGCTATACACGCTATCATCAAGAGGGATGTGACTTTTCTCTATAAGAATATATTATGCTATACACGCTATCATCTAGAGAGATATGACCTTTCTCTATACGAATATATTATGCTATACACGCTATCATCTAGAGAGATGTGACTTTTCTCTATACGAATACATTATGCTATACACGCTATCATCTAGAGAGATGTGACTTTTTTCTATACGAATATATTATGCTGTACACGCTATCATCTAGAGAGATGTGACTTTTCTCTATACGAATATATTATGCTATACACGCTATCATCAAGAGGGATGTGACTTTTCTCTATACGAATATATTATGCTATACACGCTATCATCTAGAGGGGTGTGACTTTTCTCTATACGAATACATTATGCTATACACGCTATCATCTAGAGAGGTGTGACTTTTCTCTATACGAATATATTATGCTATACACGCTATCATCAAGAGGGATGTGACTTTTCTCTATACGAATATATTATACTATACACGCTATCATCTCGAGAGATGTGACTTTTCTCTATACGAATATATTATGCTATACACGCTATCATCAAGAGGGATGTGACTTTTCTCTATACGAATATATTATGCTATACACGCTATCATCTAGAGGGATGTGACTTTTCTCTATACGAATACATTATGCTATACACGCTATTATCTAGAGAGGTGTGACTTTTCTCTATACGAATATATTATGCTATACACGCTATCATCTAGAGGGATGTGACTTTTCTCTATAAGAATATATTATGCTGTACACGCTATCATCTAGAGGGGTGTGACTTTTCTCTATAAGAATATATTTTACTGTACACGCTATCATCTAGAGGGGTGTGACTTTTCTCTATAAGAATATATTTTGCTGTACACGCTATCATCTAGAGGGGTGTGACTTTTCTCTATAAGAATATATTTTGCTGTACACGCTATCATCTAGAGGGGTGTGACTTTTCTCTATAAGAATATATTATGCTGTACACGCTATCATCTAGAGGGATGTGACTTTTCTCTATACGAATATATTTTGCTGTACACGCTATCATCTAGAGGGGTGTGACTTTTCTCTATAAGAATATATTATGCTATACACGCTAACAGTGAGGTCATCCAATCCTCTTTTTAACCCCCATACCCTTACAACTTTTTTACGCAAAAAACTTGTATTAGTCCGAACTAGTACGAGCAACCACAAACACGCCGCTATATAATATAAGTGCAATAATCTTGAACGCGACGTTCAACCCCGATTCACCTCACCTGAGTGAATGAGTGTTTTAGTTTCCGCGTTTTAGTTTAGTTTCCCATGCATGAGCAGTAATTTATAGCGTCTCAGCTTAATGTGGAATGAAATACCAGCGTGACGCAGGTCGGTTACGATTACCACTTAGCTGAAACAGGGGATCATAGTTCTATAAACAGGGATAATGTTGAGTTCGAACAGACGAACACCGGATAAGCGAGACTAAGGGCGACAACTCTGCACGACTAATTACACCGACTTAAACCACTAAAATGTGCTATCAGTGCTCACTTAAAAAGGAATTATACAAATTAAAATAAAATATGAAATAAACTGATCATAGACCAGGTGCATTAGAGAGTGCATATATGCAGGGTATGAAACTCCAAAAAATTTCAGCCAGACCACAGGACTGGCTAGCTGAAATACTTGCCAGCCCTGACCAAAACCTGCCTGCCCACTAAAATCATATGTTTCTCAGGATAATTTAATTAAAACTTTAAATCGAATTCATTGAACATGAAGTAATGCAAGAAAAGAAATAGCAAACACTTTTTAGGTTAGATTTGTATTTAATATCCTAGAATACATCATGTAAATAATGCTTATCATCCGGAAATATTTAGAATATTTTTACATATGAAATATAACCCGACCGTCGGGCAGGGGGATTTGAAAATCTGGCAGCCCGAGTTGAAATCAACCAGTCTCGGACGGTCGGGCAGGCAGGTATTTCGAACACTGAATATATGTGTACATCACATCCCGGTACATATGTTCTGCCCCAGCGACATCAGAAATATTAAATTGGGTCAGGTTGACATCCTGTTACGAAGTTCACGGACGTTGCACACATTTCCGAGTTGTATCACTACAAACAGTAGCTATTACACTGACCGTTCATCTGTGACCAACATGCCCGGATATTCATATTCTACAACTAAACACTGAGGCACGAGGGTATAATATAGGATAAAACACCCACCTTTGGTCGGAGACAGGGGTAAAGGCATATGCACGTTCTGTGTTACTGATAGTCTCGATAACATGTACCACCTGTTTGAAATGTTCGTTGTATCCCCTTAAATTAGTTGTATTAAGCATTGGGTTCCCCCACAGAACGACTCCTGTACATGACACGTGGACTCTATATTCAGACGCGGAGCTAGTGTTAGTTCCTGGTTGGGCGTCATTGAAACAGACACGTTCAGTTAGACTGGAGCAGTCCCCATTTCATTATTATAACATGTAAACAAACAAATTGGAACAAAACATTGAAATAGTGACAAATAGAATCACTGATGCGAGAAAATTGAATTGTTTTGTTATGTAACTATAGTCATATGAGAGAGAAGTATCGTATCGGAGTAAAAGATCTGATTTTCTAATGAGATTGTGCTTCGAATTAAAAAAGATTCCTACCATGCACAACTGAAACGCATTGGAATCGAACCCGGGTCTTGGGCATGACGCTTTACCAACTGAGCTACCCCACCGCCCCTTAGAAGTATTAACATACGCAGTTGATAATTGTCTGTCTGTGTAGGCAGACTCTTAAATCTCCCCCTGCTTCAATATACAATAGATTGCGTATTCGGCGTATTTGCAGCATATAGGAGTCAGTGAGTATTTTGTTACGCCGCTTTTAGCAATATTCCAGCAACATCACGGCGGGGGACACCAGAAAGGGGCTTCACACGTTGTACCCATGTCGGGAATCGAACCCGGGTCTTCGGCGTGACAAGCGAACGCTTTAACCAATAGGCTACCTGACCGCCCCTCAGCATATAGGAACACATCGTATCCCCGTCCAAATGCCTAAATAATCAATGCAAACAAAAAACACCGGGAAGAAAAAACAAACACGTCAGATATAATAACAATTTAATCGATAGATACATATAGACAATTAAATAATCTGGAAGCAAACTAATCAATAACAACTAATTACTCATGAATCCACCACCCCCTACTCAAACAGTAAAATCATAAATTTATCATAATCACCAAAGCTTTTAGGGATAGCACCACTGGACAAGAAAGATATTTTTATTTAGAGTACTTGTTATACGTACAGTTAGTTCACGTGTTTAATACGCATACGGTCTGTATATAGTTATGGTACAGTCAATGTCTATTTGTAAAACGGCAGTAGTGTCCATAAAATACGTATGGCGACTGAATCAGATAATTTATTTTATAAAAAACGTAACTGAAATTTGATTTTTTTTTAAATAAATGGACTGAATTTAGACATTGACTGTATATGACATACGAATATATTCGACTACCTGATAAACATTAATCTGACCAGTTGCGATTGAACATAGAAATAGTAACGTACTACATATTTCATGTAAAGAATGAGAATGATATCTTAGTATCAATTCTTGGCTTCGAACAAATTTTATCTCGGTTGCTTTGGATTCCGTGCTGTAAATAAACAGGCTTAAAGCCGACATGACCGAGACTCTGTCTTCCAAGGTGCACAATTTTAGACCCTAATGAGACCGCGCATTCTAGTCACAAGAACAGTTACAAGGTAGCTTGGGAGGAGTAATCTCCCTTTGAGATTAACTTAACACTGTCTTAAAAAGATAAAAAGAAATGCACGTATTTTTTCATTACTCCCACAAGTCACATTTATTAATATGAAACGGTGCATGAGAAGAAATGCGATGTCCGGTGTTCGAAGAATGAAAGACATCATTAATAGTATCAGAATGTATTGTACTATTTTCTCAAAAACTGTTTAATTATTAGTAGTTCTTTCAGGTATTCGCATATTACATGATATTAAAAGTCAGTTTATAGTACTAACTGTGAATTTATTATGTATTTGAAATATGTTCGTAGTATTTGAGCTTCACATTTATGCACCTTTATTTGTAATTATCATATCATAGAATTTGTATTTTGCATATATAACATATGTCATTGGGTATATACTATTGACGTCTCATCCGGGCCCTGCATACTTTCAACATGTCGGCGGCCGAGGTGCTGTGACTGATGTGGATGGCATCATAGTAACCACGGTAACCTAAAAGAGTAGATGAAATCAAAACACAGCAAGCGTTTTGGATGAACAGGATCACATGTAAGATTATATGTCAACTTCTCGATCATGTACATGTATTTGATGTGACTATGTCGGCATCGTTTTGCGTCGTTGTGAATGTCAACAACTCATGGTGGAACTTCAAGTTACGCTCAACGTCTCCTAAGTTGCTCATAATCCCATGAGACAGGGATACATGCATCTGTTTTATTTATCGCAAGCATTTTACAAAGGTGAATTCAGTTCATTTCGTTTCACCAAAGGTCTATTCTGTACCATGTTTAACTTGTATTGTATACTCTAAGATTGGAATAGATCAAATTAATTTTCTGTCGTGTGTCCGGATTCTTCATTAGCAGATCATTATGTATTTATTTTCTAGTAAAGACAATATGGAGTCAATAACCAAACGTGAAGTACTGTGTGAATGATGAGCACTAGTTCTTGTCAATGTCAGTCCCAAAATAAGAATGTCTACTCAGTCCAATTACTTATCATTCCTATGGTGATTTCCAGGTTAATTCTATCCTCTGTAACCTGTGCTTATTGTAAGACTGTGAGGTCACTAAATGATTTGTGCAGTCAGCTTGTGACTTGGTTGATTGCCATGATTGCGTGTCATTATACCTCAATGGCATGGGACAGTGGTTAAAATACAATGTATTCTAAAGAATGATTACTTTGTTCAAAACTTTGTCTTTTTCAAGTATGTGTCACTATGACGGCCGCTATATTGCCAACACAATTTCTAAATTTTGACTCGCTTTAAAAGTACAGGAATGTGTTTGATGCCATATCCATTGTGTTTATGTATCCTTTGGGCATTTTGAAAGGATATATAAACAAAATATCCTTGATACGATTTGGAACCCTGAGTACTACCTCAATATCAATTATGCTTGTCACACAATCTATGTCATATCTGTTTTATTTGACACCAGTAATGTTTTGATAAAATATCAAAAACAAGGTGAAGCATGTTTATGTGTGGAATGTTTCATGTCTGTTAGCAACATTAGAACATGTGAAGGCCCAAGTGATAACCATGTAAACAAGGGGGATGAAATATTTATTTCTTACTCATACTAGTTCAGCGGTAAGGTTAAGTTCTGTCGTTCATGATTTTACTCATGTATTATTTTCATTATATTAATGATTGTTTTGTAGTGAGACATGGCTGTCTACTTTGATCACCGCTTGGAGACGGACCAGGCTGGCATCAGTACAGATCTAAAATGGTTCAGTGGGAGTCCACTGCTAGCAGTTACATCCTACAGTGATGATAATGGAGGTGCTGTCACATTTTACACAGAGGAGGTAATATTAATCATCACACATTCATATTTATATAGCTCCATTTAGAATATTTGCTTCATTCATAACCGTGATAACTAGAATGTTAGGGTTTTTTAACAATGATTACAGCATCATTCATTTGTCATGATGATAATTAGCATGGTTAGTATTTTACCTTCATCAAGGTATGTCAGCTTTATTCTGTTGGTGTGGATGGAAGTCAGAAGTGACACTATTATGAGGTTGATTTATTGAAGAGGTATGCTGCTAACAGTCCAAGGGCAATAAATTGGGAAAGTGGGGGATTTTAATCCCAAATCAGTTATCTTCGTAGTTGACACGTCTACGGGCTAAGTGATGTAGGGCTGGGACGGGTACTCAGGTTGGCTGGGTACTGAGTAGGAACCGGGTACCCACAGGACTACCCGGACCCGTGGTTAGTTACATGATATATTGTTTCATGACAAAAATTCACTATATAACTACATGGTTACACAACAATTTTAAATCTCTAATGTTCACATTTCTTTATGACTGAACACATTCCTATCTCTTGACACCAACAGCAGGTACCCAGGTAGGGTCAGGTAATAGGGTGTGGGTACCCGGGTAGTAAATTTGGACTCGTCCCAGCCCTAAAGTGATGCACATAAAATATTACATTAGTGGGTAATCGTTGTAGGCGTTGCGTTAAGAACATCAAGCATATGTGAATGTCATAGAGAGAAATTTACCACCGTGGTTTATGACCAGTTAAAAGGGTTGACTTCAACTCTCATTATTGATCATGTGTTCATTTAATTTTTTTTACACTATAACATAAGATATTAACATTTCATATGTGCAGATGTGATATGTCTATGTGACACGTTTAAAATGTTCAACTTTCCATTTCAGGGAGAAAAGTTGCCCAATACACATCTCCAGAAGAACTGCCATGTGACGTCAGTGTCATGGCATCCAAACAAGAAGATAGTGGCAGTGGGATGGGAGACAGGAGAACTCCTCATCTGGAATGAACAGGAGCATAGTCTCCATGAAGCCATACAGATGCATAAATCAGCCATCAGTGTCTTGCACTGGAGTTCTAATGGCACCAGGATTGCATCAGGAGATAAGGTGGCCATAATTATTATGATACTAACTCTCTTTTGATATAACTTGTCATGAAGTCTTTTAGTAATATGTGAGAATACATTTCCCTAGCTTTATTTAGAATTTTATAAGCTTGGTTTACCAACTACATTTAATCTAGCACCAAAGTACATGAATTGTGACATTTTAAGCATGTGAAGTATTTCTGTTCCAGTCTGGAATCCTTATTGTATGGAAAGTAGATACTAAAGGACGCCTGAACCCCAACCCTCTCTGTCAGCATCACATCCAGGAGCCACTCACACACATCCTAGCTAGACCGGCTCCACCCCCAGATCCAGCCTCGTGAGTTGATTACTTTATTATATACGCAGTAGGATGCCTCCATGGTATCAGATTGCATTAGGATCGATCACAGCCCACTGATTTGAAAATATTAATGACTGATAACTGTAATAAACATGATAAAGTCATCTGAAATGTGAAGGTAATACCTTGCAGATCCATTTGTGTTCTTCCTCGTACAAATCAGTTCTTAATCCTGTTGGGGTTAGAGCTGAACTCAAAAGCTTTACTGGCCCGAGAAAAGATGAAGAGCCTTGTAATGTTAAACAATGGGGAAATTTGGAAAATTTGTACTAACCTGCAGGATTGTACCAGCCTGGGCTAGTGTTAAATTCGACCCCTGCATGTTAATGTTTGTTTTATAATGATGTACGTTTGGAAATTGATCTGCTTCAGTTCATACTGTCCTATTTTTGAGGAAGGAAGCGATATTGTTTCTTCTAACATCTTGCCTCCTTATACAACTGAAGAGAAGTGGGTGAATATTGTGTGAAACCTTGTTATGATGACTCACATTTGAACTTTTTTTGTTTTCAGAGACATTGCAAGTTTGGCCCGAGCAGCTGTGAGTGGGGACGAGAGTGCCTTGGACATGTTTAATTGGAAACGAGGGAAGAATAATTCCAAGACAACCAATAGCTTTGGCCAATCTGAATCACTGTCTTTCTTTGTTGGTGGTGCCAGTGGTGAGTCCAGTCTACCTGTCAAACTTTTATTATTGGATGGATCTATTTTTATGTTTCATGATGTGCATATATATGTTCTTAATTCCCAGCTTAGAATTCAGCTTAGTTCCCTTTGGTATACCATATATACATTGTCTAGACTGTTGAATGTAAAGCATGTAAGGATAAAAAAATAATAATCTTGACTCAAGACTCATAAAGTCTGCCGCATGATTTGTTTTTATTTCCATTTAAAAAAAATAAAAATCTTTTAATATTCCGCATCTCGAACACACAACCCGGCTGTTAATGCTACAATACTTAAGAGTGACATGATTTACCTGAAATTATTGTAAACCAAATTTGGTTACATACTTGCTTGAACAACCAAAAATTAAAAAAAACACCAGCTGTGCAATAATTTCAAAAGCCATTGATATACTTGATAACGTTACTTTATGTTAAACTAACAATGAATGAATGCAACTGTTTTCTTGACCTAAAGTAAACATCGTGATGTTTTAAGATGCTTGTGCACATACTGCATCATCTAACTCCAATGTTGTGACTATGGTATGTTCATGCAGGTGGAGTTTACTATGTGAATGAGAATGGACAATGCATACAGTGTTTCACGGTTGACTCGTCAGTACGGAAAATGCTGTATTATGATGACAAGAACATCCTCATAACAATCACAGACAACATGATGCTTACACAACATGCTGTACTTCTCGAGGGAGACACCAAGGAAATGATCAAGGTAAAACATCGTCTCTTCGTGTTGCGAGTGAGTGAGTTAAGATTTAACGTCACATCGGCAGTATTTCAGTCATATCGTGACGAGTAGTACATTAATGATACATATATTTATACAATACAAAAAGCTGTCAACGATGGACATTTCAATAACTAGAATATCACAGTCTATTTAAAACTAGTTGAGAATATATAAAAGTCTTAATTATTAGTGAACAATACAATATAAAAATGGGCTAGAGATTGTCAGTCACTAAAGGGAGATCACCATACCAGGGACCATGGGGACTTACAGTGCCTTTGCTTCCTGCATGGACCCCGGCAGGATTTATATCGTGTTGCATTCTTTGCTACTATTACCGTTATTATTCCAGAGACTTAAGCATGTCCAAGACGTCTTGTACATGGACTTTCTGCACGGAATCCAAAGAATTGCACAGACATGATAACACGGAAATGTTTGAAAAATGATTTGTTAACTTATGAGCTGATTTGCATATTTCAGGTGAAGCTGAGTGGGAGGAATGAGGAGCCCCACATCATTTGGGCAGGGAAAGGTTTGCTGGCGACTGCCACAGGAGAAGTGGCCATCAGGTGAGTGTACCTCAAGGGAACTTTGTCTTGTGATCAGGCTCCAGAAAAATAGGGGAATATCAGTCTATGTTGACCTATGTTGACTTTTTAGACCATTTCCAGTAGATTTTGCCCTTGTTATTTGTGGTGTCATTATGTTAACTTAGAGTGAGTAGAAAATGGCTGGTTTAGACTATTGCCTGAACTGCAAACTGACTAAATTAAGCCAAACTCACTTAGTGACCATACCATTGAGTCATGTTGTATGTGAGTGATGATTCATCATTTTCATATGTTGGTACCACTATTTTGAACAGAATGTGGGATCTGGAGCAGGATGACAACTATGTGTTGAGTTTGGATGGCCACAGCAGCTACGACAGCAATGAGTCCATCATGTGCGTGGCATACTGTGCGGAGAAAGGTAAGAACTGATGGAACTTGTGTGTCAAATGCTGCAATAAAACACTCAAACTAATCAATAATGATTCAGGTTTAACTAACATAATGTGTGGCAAGTGCTGAAGTGAAAGATTCTAGAGGAATTACTTCTGATTTAAGTTGAATGAATATTCTCTATATGTATTCCTTTGATGCCATATTGTGTGTGTGTGTGTGTGTGTGTGTGTGTGTGTGTGTGTGTGTGTGTGTGTGTGTGTGTGTGTGTGTGTGTGTGTGTGTGTGTGTGTGAGTGAGTGAGTGAGTGAGTGAGTGAGTGAGTGAGTGAGTGAGTGAGTGAGTGAGTGTTTGCTTGTTTGTCGTTTAACAATGCACTTAGCAATGTTCCAGCTCTATTCTATGACGGCAGTCTGTAAATAATTGAGTCTTGGTCAGACAATCCAATGATTGATATCGCAAGCATCGATTTACACAATTGGGATAAGATGGCATACATCAACCAAGTCAGCGTGCCTGACCACCAGACCCTGTTAGTCGCCTCGCATAGTTGTCTCTTATGACAAGCATGGGTTGCTGAAGACCTATTCTTACCCTGATATTCACGGTTTGTGTGGGAGTGAGTGAGCTTGGATTAACACCACTTCGTTGTCTTGTATAGGCATGTTGGCTGGAGGCACTAACATGGGGAATGTGGCGTTGTGGAAGTTTCATCCAACCAACAATCGTAAGATCGAGGGAGAGGACAAGTGGAAGCTGCAGGCGCCGGCAACTGTGGAGGGGCCAGTCAGACAAATACAGGTACAGGGAGGGTAGAAACACACTCTACCTTTCCCACAATGCAGTGATAGCATGCTTTAGAATGGAAATGAGAAAGGTGATGTCCAACTCATCGGAACTTCAGTTTTCAAGAACAGATATTGGAATTTGCTTGAAAATTATTTATCCACATTGTAGAGATGTCTACCAAGTGTATATTAAAAATATATACATACAGTACATTATTTTGTAAGACCATTGAGGTATTTATACAAACATTGCACTTATTGCAAAATATTCAGGTAACGTTTTGACAGGTTTGAAGAACAAACAAATCTGAAATGTCTGAGTTTACCATGTTTACAAAACATTCCAAAACCAAGGAATAAAACTAAGTCTTTAGGGTTTCACTCACAATAACAGTAACATTTCCTTGGTGCCTAATTCCCGATGATCATGTGATGGCCGTTGTGCATGTCCTGACATCTTCTCCTCTCTCCAGTGGGGAAGCAACAAGACACTGATGGCCATCAACACCATCGCCAACGTCTTCGTCCTGAGTGAGCAGGTGATGAGCTGCAGCTACCAGGACCAGACAGCGGTAGTTCAGTATGGGCCGAGCTCTCTGTCCATAGAAGTGTTTGCTACTGGAAACCACCATGACCTCAAGACGGACATCCAGGTCAAGGGGGTCTGTACAACTAAGGTGAGGTGTTTTGGGGATTTTAAAGTAATATATATTAGAAAATCAGTTTTTCAATTTTAAAAATATTTGATAGTGAAATCGTTTTGTCAATTTTAAATAAAAAAATTGATAATGAAATCGTTATGCCAATTGTATGAAAAATAGATAAAAATCGCTTTGTTGATGTTAAAGTTTGCCCAAGACTACATTCAACAATACACTGACCATGAACAGACTTCGTTTATCTTGTTGTGTTTTGTCAGACCATTGGGGTATGGATGTTTTTTTCTTCACAGTGGTAATTATGTATATTAAATTAGGGTTTCTATGATTCCAGCAAATATTCCATTTATTGCAGCTTAAGGATAAGGTGACTAAAATATCTGCTGCTTTGCTTCTAATTGTGCTCTGTGGATTAACTGTCTTCGAAAAGATTGAGATGTTTGTTTAGTAGTGTGTTTCAAGGTCTCCTTACAATATTGATAATAATTCTGTTTTAGGATGTCCTTGCTGTGTGGAATGGAAAACGAGTCATCATCTATGAATATTCAGCTGACAAACTAGTCCTGAAGGCTGCAGGTAGAAGTCTTTAAGAACATGTCATCAAACAGATTAAAATGATTACAGTACAATCAAACTTTGAATCGAATGCATGAGATTGAACCATTACATATGTTTGTGTGTGCAATGTTAAAAGTAATGAGTTGATATAGTGTTGTGCATATAATAATCAGTTTAAGTTGCATGTCAGAGTAAATTCTTGGTATCATCTTCGAAGTTCATCTCTGTCCCTTTTCTTCAGATGAAAACGATTCTGTTTGTTCCCAGGTTCATTCACCACTGAAGCACAGCTTGTCTGCCTGTATGAACAAAATGTGTACACCATTGAGGGAAACAAAGTGCAAGTCAGAACATTCCAGGTATCACAAAGATTTCTTACTATACATATAGTAGAATCCATTCTAAATGAGACTTGATGTTATGATGTATAACTTAAAGCATCAATAGGGAGATTAAAACTTAATGAGATGTTTCCATTACACAGTTGTAATAATTGTGCCATGCAAAGTGAGGTTATCTCCCCTGATTGAATCCAGTGGAGGCAAAGTTTTGACTGCATGTCTAACCCCTTGCCGGGTTTGTTTACACTGCCTTCCTCCGTCACCTGTGGAGACATGTAGTAAGCCAGTGAAGTGAGACCATTCCTAACTCCCTGAAGTCACGTGATGGCAACTGTGTGCATGTACCGTGTGAGAACTCTACCATTACTTAAGAAATAGGGGCGGTCGGGTAGCCTAGTGGTCAAAGCTTCACTCGTCATGACGAAGACCTGGGTTCAATTCCCGACATGGGTACATTGTTTGAAGCACATTTCTGGTGTCCCCCGCCATGATAGCGGCGTAAAACCTCACTCACGAACAAACGAAATAAACTACGAGAGTTTATCATACAATCTAACACTGCAGGGAGAATAATCCATGATGGGGTGTAGTGTTTTATTGTGCAAGAGACAATGACCACAGGACGTTTATTTCTTATATGAGATATCCACATTGTGTACATCCTCTCTAAGGATCATGATAAAATATACAAGCATTAAAAATATTTACCTGTATTTTAATAAGGATGACCTCGACCTCGGTAATGTTGGACAGGTGGTTATTTCACACATATTCTCACAATCCTCACGTTGATTACCTGTTGGTTTTCTCCCAATACTGATTGTTGTGTCCTTTTTTGCTTTTCAGTGCAAATGTTAGGCCATTGCTTTTATCTGCATTGTCCACCTTCATATATAGGAAACAACTCACTAGACACTCCCCTCTCAAAAAGACGTTGACTAATATACGAAGTTATCAAGTTAAGAGCACATGTTCGAATCTCCAGATATGACGTCATGATAGAACAATGTTTATCGTGAAATAAATCACACTTTGTTCTTCATTGTTCTTTGCGATTTATCCTTTAGCTATCTAATATATGAAATTAAAACATTGTCATTGTGTAGGGCAGAGAGGCACAAGGCTGTGACACATGTTGCACACAGCACGTGGGAAGCATTGCTGATTGTGCAATGTATGCTTCACACTTACTGGTCTGAGCACTTGCTGGCTTTCCTCCACTAGAAACAGGCTTTTGCTTGATCCGTTGGTTAGAAGCAGCTCTTAGTATTCACAGGTGATGGAGAAACATACTGTTTACAAATCCAGTTTGCTCTAATAAACCTTTCTTTTGCTGTTATTTATCCAGCATGTTTGCTGAACAATGTCTCAACTGTTGTTTCCAGGGAACAATTAAACAGCACATGACATTTTCTGAGGTTGAGGGAAACCCCTGCTGTATCAACATCTGTGGTAACTTCTTGGCTGTGGCCACAGAACATGGAACGCTCCGAGTCTACGACCTCTCTCGCAGGTTGGTCGTGTTGAAAACATGAGAAATATTAAGCACAATATTGTTACAAAGTGTAGTACATACTGCTAGAACAGCATTGTTAGGTACAGGATCTGCCATACCTTGTAACAGAGAAAGAAATATCAACAACATTTACCAGTACACTATGTGTTTTGCTTATGATTAAATCTTGATGAAATTAGGATTGATTCAAGATCATTATGATCATGCCATCTTCCTCTGGCAGGGGAGTTAACTGACTGTAAAGTCCAGTTTCCACCTGGCCATGCCAGGCTGGAATTCAGGGCTCGATTGTAGCGCCACCACTGGTTATCATGAGTTGTCCCTTCTATGACCCTCCCATCAACCAATCAGATTCCACTTCTCATATCACATGCATTTGCTTCAAACAAAATGGCGGCACCCAGTGAAGACGATCTGATCGATAATCAAGATCTATATTGTAACAAAACAGGTCTTACATCACAAAGTGCATCAAATCACGTGAGCACCTTGATTAAGAAGATGAAAAGATTTGGAAAATATCTGTTCATGCTGAGCAGTACACATGCGTTACAAATCCTGCAATTGACAGAAATCAGAAAGGCAGTTGACGAACCGGATGTTGATTTCTTTACGTAATTTTGATTGGACTCGTTAGTCCATCCAAACTATAACTCCATAATTCAAGCCCAGTTCGGCAAGGATGGAAACTGGACTGTTACAGTCAGTTAACTCCCTTGGCCCAGGAAGATGTGATCATGAGTGAGAAATAATACTTGACTTATTGATGATGCTAATATATGTTCTTTACTTCAGGGAAGCGAAGGCCCACAGTAATCCAAAGAACATATCTGATTCTGTCCATGACTTTGGCACCATTCTTTCCGCCCGCTGTAACTGCTCCGGCAACAGAGTGAGTGTGATGGTGAAGCTGCAAAACAACACCTTTGACAGCAAGTTGTACGTCTGGGATGTTGAGACAGACAGTGTGCAGTACTTCAACTTCCAGACGGGCCGGGGGGAGCAGGACGATTATCCCCCTCCTGACGGGGCTGAGGAGGAGAATGAATCCGATACCAATGATGCTGAAAGGTATGTGCACTACACATTGCAGAGGCTTGGAGGACTTATCTAAAGTGCCTTCAGTGCTTACTTGCTCACTCACTGTAATTACAGGACTTCCTTCTGAACAAGTAGAAAGGGGTATGTGTGCCTCAAATGTCTCAGGCAGTCATGATTATGATTCTGTAATGGAGAAATCATGAAAATCTGTTGATTCAGAAGTAGAATCTAATAGCAACCATGCCCCGAATCTACTTCCAGAACCAAAATCCTAGTCCTTATGATACCTTAACTATTGGGCAGTTTGGCAAGGACTAGGACTAGAACCGCTTCCTAACGCTGTAATTTCTCTATAATTTTGCATAATGACATAAATGTCAATGTCTAGAACAGTCAATACATGTATGTGAAATGTATAACTATTAACAACGCATTAATTCCTCTAGGGGTAAGAACCAGGCTGCGAAGGACATCGCAGGCCGACGCCCAACATCTCACTACTGGGATCCCCTTGAGCCCAAGCTGCTGGTGTGTGAGGCTATGGCAGTGGAGCAGGAGAAGAGCAGGGAAATCAAGAGGAAACCATCTCTCACTAAAGCTGTTGATGATGGCCCGGTAAATACTGTGGAACTATGATAGGAAAGGGCCCACTACCACAAAGCCATCTTAGCGCTATGATTGTTGTAATCTGTGTTATAAGTATGGGAGTTGCCATCATCTTAGTGCTAAGATCACTTTGCCATAAATAAGATCTGAAAAACTGTTCAGAGAAACTTAAGGCTTAAGAAATAAAAGAATTGGTTCTCAGGCAATGACTTTTGAAAATATGGTGATGGGCGGGGGCTATTATGTAACCAAATAAAGATGTGTACCTTCCTACATAAACAAGCATACAAACTCCTGCCCACATGACCATAATACAAGATGCACAGTAAAGCAGTGCGCATGTAAAGGGAAGTAACTGCCTGCTATATTGTATTGCATCGTTTTTAATTATTAAGATGTTTACATATTTTTTTTAATGAAAAAAAAAACGGAATGTGCGGCAGACTTTATGATGATGCGGGTGGTGCCTGAGAACCAAGACTTTTATTTTTTGGGGCCTAACTTTACCTATTTTGTACTGATTTCTGTAAGATGTTGGTTGTTTGCAGCTTTACAGCTTGAAGTCTGTATTATGTGTTTGGTGTTTTTCAGGTTGAACTGATGGTGGTGTCTCTCTTCTGCACACAAGAGAATGGTATCCTCATTCAAGACAGCTTCAGCCTTCCCCCACAAGTCACTGCTCTCATGGGAGTGGAAGTTCCCTATCACTATTTCATAAAGAGGGTAGGTCATTTCAAGAAGTGCTTGTAGAATAGAAGAATGAAAATCAATAGATATGGTCCCCACTTTGGATGCTGAGTTAGACGTGGCCCCAGTTGGGATGCTAGGTTAGACATGGCCCCCAGTTGGGATGCTGGGTTAGACATGGCCCCCAGTTGGATGCTGGGTTAGACATGGCCCCCAGTTGGGATGCTGGGTTGGGATGCTGGGTTAGACCTGGCCCCTAGTTGGGATGCTGGGTTAGACATGGCCCCCAGCTGGGATGCTGAGTTAGACATGGCCCCCTGTTGGGATGCTGGGTTAGACATGGCCCCCAGTTGGGATGCTGGGTTAGACATGGCCCCCTGTTGGGATGCTGGGTTAGACATGGCCCCCTGTTGGGATGCTGGGTTACACGTGGCCCCAGTTGGGATGCTAGGTTAGACATGGCCCCCATTTTGGATGCTCGGTTAGACACGGCCCCCAGTTGGGATGCTGGGTTAGACATGGCCCTCAGTTGGGATGCTGGGTTAGACATGGCCCCCAGTTGGGATGCTGGGTTAGACGTGGTCCCCAGTTGGGATGCTGGGTTAGACATGGCCCCCTGTTGGGATGCTGGTTTAGACATGGCCCCCAGTTGGATGCTGGGTTAGACATGGCACCCAGTTGGGATGCTGGGTTAGACGTGGCCCTAGTTGGGATGCTGGGTTGGGATGCTGGGTTAGGCATGGCCCCCAGTTGGGATGCTGGGTTGGGATGCTGGGTTAGACATGGCCCCCAGTTGGATGCTGGGTTAGACATGGCACCCAGTTGGGATGCTGAGTTAGACATGGTCCCAAGTTGGATGCTGGGTTAGAAGTGGCCCCAGTTGGGATGCTGGGTTGGGATGCTGGGTTAGACATGGCCCCCAGCTAGGATGCTGGGTTAGACATGGCCCCCTGTTGGGATGCTGGGTTAGACATGGCCCCCAGCTAGGATGCTTGGTTAGACATGGCCCCCTGTTGGGATGCTGGGTTAGACATGGCCCCCAGTTGGATGCTGAGTTAGACATGGCCCCCAGCTGGGATGCTGGGTTAGACATGGCCCCCTGTTGGGATGCTGGGTTAGACATGGCCCCCTGTTGGGATGCTGGGTTAGACATGGCCCCCAGTTGGGATGCTTGGTTAGACTTGGCCCCCAGTTGGATGCTGGGTTAGACATGGACCCCAGTTGGATGCTGGGTTAGACATGGCCCCCAGTTGGGATGCTGGGTTAGACATGGCCCCCAGTTGGGATGCTGAGTTAGACATGGCCCCCAGTTGGGATGCTTGGTTAGACTTGGCCCCCAGTTGGATGCTGGGTTAGACATGGCCCCCAGTTGGGATGCTGGGTTACACGTGGCCCCCAGTTGGGATGCTTGGTTAGACTTGGCCCCCAGTTTGGATGCTGAGTTAGACTTGGCCCCCAGTTGGGATGCTGGGTTAGACTTGGCCCCCAGTTGGGATGCTGGGTTAGACATGACCCCCAGTTGGGATGCTGAGTTAGACATGGCCCCCAGTTGGGATGCTTGGTTAGACTTGGCCCCCAGTTGGGATGCTGGGTTAGACATGGCCCCCAGTTGGGATGCTGAGTTAGACATGGCCCCCAGTTGGGATGCTTGGTTAGACTTGGCCCCCAGTTGGGATGCTGGGTTAGACTTGGCCCCCAGTTGGGATGCTGAGTTAGACATGGCCCCCAGTTGGGATGCTGGGTTTGACATGGCCCCCAGTTGGGATGCTGGGTTTGACATGGCCCCCAGTTGGGATGCTGGGTTAGACATGGCCCCCAGTTGGGATGCTGGGTTAGACATGGTCCCCAGGAACCTCTGCTTGTTGTACAAAGCACCATGATGGATTTGGTGGTCAGACTCAGTGACTTATAGCATGTCAATGTACCCTGCACGTGGACTCTGCCTCATAATATCAGGGGCGGTGGGGTAGCCTTGTGGTTAAAGCGTTCACTCGTCATGCCGAAGACCTGGGTTCGATTCCCCACATGGGTACAATGTGTGGAGCCTATTTCTGATGCCCCCTGCCATGATAATCCTTGAATATTTCTAAAAGTGGCGTGAAACCATGCTCACTCACTCACTCATAATACCAATCACTGGTTTGTCTGGTCAAGAATCGTTTATTTACAGGCCACCATCTTATAACTGAACTGTTGATGATTGTGGCATCAACATCAAACAAATAAACGGATAGTCATGGTAATGATGCTGTAAGATTATTATTGAAATCAGTGTACAACCTCCTCCCTCGCTCCTCCTTTATTGGCATTCCGGACATCTTTGCATGTCACTCATTCCCTTGCTTACTGACTGTTCTATTTCAGCCGGAGAACACATCGTCCGAGGCTGCCAATCAGCAGGAAGACAATGTGGTCAACTCTGAGACTGGGACAGCAATCTACCCCAAACTGGTGTTCAGGAAAGTTCTGCGTGACTTTGTGGGTCTGGAGAACAGTGATAAAGGCACAAGAGACGCCATGATGAACTTCAGCTACTATCTTACAATAGGCAACATGGACGAGGCGTTCAAAGCTATCAAGCTCATCAAGAGGTATGCTGTGACACACAATCCTTGTCCTGACAGTGCTGTTTGTACTGGAATGTGTTTTGTGGCTTTGGGAGGCAGTACTTTCATATGATAAAGAACATGGGTAGTTCAGGATTTTAAGTCTATTTTTGAATGAGATACAGATGTTTCGAGGTGCTGTCAACTTATTGCATTAGGTATGCTTGTTGTTCTTATCATTTATGAGTAAAGGCTACTTCTTATCTTATTTTTAGATGATGTTAAACCCACCTGACATGATTGCGTATTTATTGATCTGTGTGGTTTGTTTGACAGCGAGTCGGTGTGGGAGAACATGGCCAAGATGTGTGTGAAGAGTCGGCGGCTGGACGTGGCGTACGTGTGTCTGGGCAACATGGGGCATGCTCGGGGAGCCAAGGCACTGCGGGAAGCACACCGAGAAGCTGAGCTGGATGCCAGGGTGGCCACATTAGCCATACAACTAGGATTGTTTGTAAGTACTGGGATGAAACTACACACTCTGGAAGCTATAGATTATTGTCAATACGTTGAATATTTCAACAATTTTTGGAAACTTATCAATAGAGGTTATCACGCGAGTGTGTTTGGGGATGGTAAATATCCTGCATTAGGAATAAACATTGTATTTAGCGAGCCTTGGCGAGCTAAATACATAGTGTTTATTCCTAATACAGGATATTTACCATCCCCAAACACACAAGGGTGATAACCTCTTTATCATATAATGTCATTCTTTAATTCTGCGCTTCAAAATCGCTTTCCCTCTCACAAACATTACCGAAACATTGCAAGTATTCCTGGTATGCGCGCATTAATATTTATTACGTCACAGGGTAAGTGATGTGTCAGTCGGACAGTGACAGTAGCCAATATAGTTCCAACTGAAATCTGTTTCTTATACAATGGCGAAGCAACATATACGCAAAACAATAATTGTTTTTAATTGTCTTTCGCGGCAATCCATCGGTCTGTCCGCTAGAGTAACTGCCCTTTGTCAAAGGGAAGCTACTCTTACCCTAGTCTATGAGACGTCACGGCCATGGTCAGACGTTGTTGACAGTCGGTCTGTCCTGTCATAACGTTAAGAAGTGTAGTCAGATGTACACAGAGCGACAAAACGAGACAAGGTAACAATTCAAACATATTTCAGCCAAATCCAACTATTTCAATTTGTGGAGAAGGTTTCAAGCCGCAGAGGTCTACCAGTCATGGCTACTGATCCTGCTTGGCTAAGTTGCCAAAACTTATAGAATGCCTTAGCTACGTCACAGTTAGACACTGATTTTCAGTATATTAGACTGTTCTTTTGATAATGATAGCAATTATCTCTGTAGTTTATCCAGATTCCCGATGCTTAATTCTGACTCGATTGCCGAGGGCGACGCCATGTTTGTTTATAAACAGTGAAAGTAGTCCCTACTTGACCTTTGATATTTGCATCTCTATCCGCATATGACCCCAACGGATATCTTTTTTATCCTGCCGAGAAACCTACCCATTATATGATAAATATATTTTACTTCTTTTGTTGTTTGTTATTCTACTCATGTTAATCCCTCTGATGAATGATAATTGTCATTTCTGTGAATCCTTCACACACCATATATAATTCCGTACCATGTTCATTATTCAGTCTTACTTGACAACGGTATAAGGATCTATACCAAAATGTCGCTATTACAGTATAATGAAGACGTTTTTGTCAACGGTGTCATCCATCATCTTCTATGAAATGCCTATCAAGCAATTTAAACTTATCAATGTTCACAAATATTTGTTTTTGAGGACTGTGCAAGGTGTATGAGATATGATGTTAATATTCATTGTTGAATGGAAAACTTTTAATATATTTACAGTGACATTAATATTCTAACTAACTGACATGCACAAAGTTTCTCATCACTACTTCACAGGATTGTTCGCCATGTTCGTCCCCTGAATACACACGGGCAATAAACACTATACTAATTACACGTCTGCTTTTAGTCAGGTATTGGAATAAGGCCATGTGTAACTCAAGAAAGTTCTGTGTACCCTACTGTGCATGAAGTTTGTGGAAGCCTACCGTTGCCTGATATTGAAGCAAGGTGTAGAGGCTATGCACATGGTGCATGACACATAGAGCTGATGTTTGTTTGTTGTTTAACGCCCCATTCAGCAATATTCCAGCCACATGACGGCAGTCTGTAAATAATCCAGTCTGGACCAGACAATCCAGCGATTGAGCATTGATCCAGGCAATTGAGATACGATGACATGCATCAACCAAGTCAGCAAGCCTGACCACCTGATCCCGTTAGTCGCCTCTTACGACAAGCATAGTCACCTTTAACGGCAAGCATGGTTTGCTGAAGACCTATTCTACCCCGGATCTTCACAGGTCTAGTGCTGATGTAAGCTGATGGTCTGAGCACTGGCTGGTTTCCTTATCTCTGGGACTAGGTCGCTGCTTCATGGGCTGGTATAAAATAGTGACTACCCGAAAGGGTCCGTATGTATTCACGGGCGATAGAGGTGAAGTTTGTTCACATGCTTCTTGAAGGAACTCTGACCACACTTCAGAGGCATGGCAACAGTTGATTTACTACTCCTGAGTTTAAGCCACTTGAAAAAAAGAAATAATTAAGACATTAAGGGATTGTGGTTAATTGACCACTCTGCAGTTACTGTTATTTTGACATTACAATTTTCTGTACTAAAGGAAGATGCAGAGAGGTTACTGAAGAACTGTAAGCGTTACGATCTCCTGAATGAGTTCTACCAGAGTGGAGGTCAGTGGGGAAAGGCCCTGGAGACAGCTGAGATGTACGACAGAATCCATCTCAGGACCACCTACTACAACTATGCCCGGCATCTGGAGGAGAACGGAAACACATCAGGAGCCATTCCAAAGTGAGGACAATAAACAAAAGAAATGTTCATGGCCTCTCAGTCCTATTCCTAATTATGCACGAGGTGGCTCAGTGGTGCCGCATTTTGCTGTGCTGAATTTAGTCCCTTAGGTGTGCCTGGATCTTATAATCATGGTTTCAAATCCTAGTTTCACCTTGATGATAGTTCTTGCTTTGACATCATGGTCAGCACCATACCCATTCCAGTAAACCTCTACATCTACGTTGGAGGGCACGGGTGGCTCAGTCGTCCAAGACGCTGTGATTTGCTGTGCACACTTGCGTCCCTTGGGCACGCCAGAAATCTATGATCGTGGGTTTGAATCCTGGTTCGCCCCAATTATGTTTTTAGGTTTGTCAGCACCAGAGTTTCACCAAAGTGGTAAACGTCTGAGACCTAAATCACATCAGGCTTTTCTCCCACAATAAGCTGACATGCCACGATATAACTGGAATACTGTTAAAAGTGGCATTTAACCTAACTCCCTTGCTCACAACATCTGCGTTAACATGATTAACCTGACACATTGTGATACAACTGGAATACTGTCCAAAGTGTAGTTAAATAAAACTCGCTAACATATTTATGTACATGGCTAAGTGTCTGTTACTTCTCTTCGCTATATCATTAAGTTCTTTACTGTATCTAGAACGGGAAATAGTTAGGTCTAAAAGTAGTTTGTTTGTTCCAGTGTGTTTGGATGGAATGTTTTATGTCAAACTGATTTCTGCAGGAAATATTAAACCCTCCCTGTTTCATTTTTTATTGATGTTTGCTAATTTGAGTGTTTGTTTTCAGCTTTGAGAAGTCGGAGACACACAGGTTCGAGGTGCCCAGGATGCTGTATGAAGACCCTGAGTCTCTGGAACAGTACATCCAGAGGAGCAAAGACAAGTAAGCTCATCAGTCATGGTGTCTTTTTAAAGACTGCCCCCCGCCCTCCCTCTTCCACCACCACCCCAAATGCCCTCATGAAAATGTCTAAAAATGACCCAAAGCTGTTTGTACTCATCACCAAATTGATGAACAGAAAGAAAGAGGTTAAAATATGTAATGTTTTAAAATTGTGATTGTTGAAGATTATTGGTGCTACCTGAGATTTGTGCTGCTGATGACTGATATCTGTGCTATGTTATCAAGGTCCCTGCGTAAATGGTGGGCCCAGTTTATGGAGAGTAATGCTGAGATGGATGTGGCGTTACAGTTCTATGAGGAGGCCCAGGACTTCTTCTCCCTTGTTCGAGTCTACTGCTTCTGTGGACAGATTGACAAGGTCAGTCATACCAAAATACAGATATAGGACAACACTTACTGGTTCTTCTCCAACATATAGACTCCATGAAACAATTGTACCCTGTTTACAAACTTCAAGTGACACAAATCAAGTCTTTAGCAGTCATTTCTTACTGCATCATATATATGCCTTAGAAGCAACTGTGTTGTCTTATTGTGTTTTTCTAAAAGAAACCAAAAGTTCATCCCGAACATACTTACAGTGCTAACTGTAGTGCAGCTGAACATTGTGTGGTTGTAGGCAGCGGAGGTGTGTAACGAGACCGGAGACAAGGCAGCCTGCTACTACCTGGCCCGTCAGTATGAGAACCAGGACCAGATCAAAGAGGCCATTCACTTCTTTACCAGATCACAGGCCTTTGGTAGTGCTATCCGCTTGTGTAAGGTAAGCAGAGATTCTCATTCACTTCTTTACCAGATCAATGTTAACTAGTGTTATTGGTCACAGTCTGGATTTTCTGATGCCATGGAGTGTTAAGAGATTTTCATGTCCCAGACTGTGTTCAGTATTGATGGACCATGGACGTGATGTTTGTTTGCCCGACTGTGTTCAGTATTGATGGACCATGGACATGATGTTTGTTTGCCCAACTGTGTTCAGTATTGATGGACCATGGACTTGATGTTTGTTTGCCAGACTGTGTTCAGTATTGATGGACCATGGACGTGATGTTTGTTTGCCCAACTGTGTTCAGTATTGATGGACCATGGACGTGATGTTTGTTTGCCCGACTGTGTTCAGTATTGATGGACGTGATGTTTGTTTGCCCGACTGTGTTCAGTATTGATGGACCATGGACGTGATGTTTGTTTGCCCGACTGTGTTCAGTATTGATAGACCATGGACGTGATGTTTGTTTGCCCGACTGTGTTCAGTATTGATGGACCATGGACGTGATGTTTGTTTGCCGACTGTGTTCAGTATTGATGGACCATGGACGTGATGTTTGTTAGCCGACTGTGTTCAGTATTGATGGACCATGGACGTGATGTTTGTTTGCCCTACTGTGTTCAGTATTCATGGACCATGGACATGATGTTTGTTTGCCCGACTGTGTTCAGTATTGATGGACCATGGATGTGATGTTTGTTTGCCAGACTATGTTCAGTATTGATGGACCATGGACATAATGTTTGTTTGCCCGACTGTGTTCAGTATTGATGGACCATGGACGTGATGTTTGTTTGCCCGACTGTGTTCAGTATTGATGGACCATGGACATAATGTTTGTTTGCCGACTGTGTTCAGTATTGATGGACCATGGACATGATGTTTGTTTGCCCGACTGTGTTCAGTATTGATGGACCATGGACGTGATGTTTGTTTGCCCGACTGTGTTCAGTATTGATGGACGTGATGTTTGTTTGCCCGACTGTGTTCAGTATTGATGGACCATGGACATGATGTTTGTTTGCCCGACTGTGTTCAGTATTGATGGACCATGGACGTGATGTTTGTTTGTCGACTGTGTTCAGTATTGATGGACCATGGACGTGATGTTTGTTTGCCCGACTGTGTTCAGTATTGATGGACCATGGATGTGATGTTTGTTTGCCCGACTGTGTTCAGTATTGATGGACGTGATGTTTGTTTGCCCGACTGTGTTGAGTATTGATGGACCATGGACGTGATGTTTGTTTGCCCGACTGTGTTCAGTATTGATAGACCATGGACGTGATGTTTGTTTGCCCGACTGTGTTGAGTATTGATGGACCATGGACGTGATGTTTGTTTGCCTGACCGTGTTCAGTATTGATAGACCATGGACGTGATGTTTGTTTGCCTGACTGTGTTGAGTATTGATAGACCATGGACAAGATGTTTGTTTGCCTGACTGTGTTGAGTATTGATGGACCATGGACGTGATGTTTGTTTGCCAGGAGCATGGCCAGGAGGAACAGCTGCTGAACCTTGCTCTGCTGGGGCGCCCCGAGGACATGATGGAGGCAGCACGCTACTATGAGCAACACCCACGCTACAATGACAAGGCCGTCATGCTGTATCATAAGGTGAAGCTTGGATCTGTTTCTGTATCTTCCATTGTGTTGTAGGGGGTGCAAAGGGCACAGATGCATTCCTTATCTGACAGAACCTGTTGTCATAGGTTGCATTGTCCCTCATACTTGTGGCTAGGTTCCCTTGTGGTTTGGTTCCCCAACATGAAGGGACGGGTCATTATTATAGGGTTGTGGTTTAGAGGGAATCAAGGGAGTATCACCAAAAAATATGACTCTTGGGGATAGCCAGAAAAAATAATACATATATTTGGGGAGGATCTTGAAAATTTTGACTTTTCATAATGCTTTTTGATTTTGTCTTTTTGGGGAGGGTCATGATAAAATGTACAGGGTCATAGGGAGGGTCTTTTTCAAAAATATGACTAGCATTAGGGGAGGTTTATTATTTTCAGTACATTAGTCCATCCAAACTGCTGACCCATCCACCTTTGTCACAAATGACTAGACTCTCATGATGAAACTTGTTTGAAATATTCCTTCATGATTTTCAACGTGCATTCGTGTGATTATGATCAGTATCTTTGTGTATCTTGCACATAGAGGGGGCATGGGTGGCCAGCGATTCGCTGTGCAAAGTTGCGTCCCTTGGGCTTGCCAGAAACCTATGATTGTTCCCGGTTCTCCCAGACTATGTTTGTAGGTTAGTCAGCACCATACCACTACTCGTGGTTTCACCGAAGTGGTAAACATCTGAGGCCTGCATCACTTCGGACTTTCCTCCCACATTAAGCTGACAAGCGGCGTTAAATCCAACTCACTCACTCACTCACTCACTCACTCACTCACTCACTCACTCACTCACTCACTCACTCACTCACTCACTCACTCACTCACTCACTCACTCACTCACTCACTCAATTCTGGTATTGATTTATGTAATTATTCACAAGTGGCTGGCTTACTTCAGGTTCTGGAACACTCACTTTATGACATCTCAATATCTGTTTCAGGCTGGCAACTTTTCTAAGGCCCTGGACCTTGCCTTCAAGACGAAGCAGTTCGGTGCTCTACAGCTGATATCAGGTGACCTGGATGAGAGAGCTGACCCGGAGCTGCTTCAACAGTGTGCAGACTTCTTCCTGGAGAATGGGCAGTACGACAAGGCGGTGGACCTCCTGGCTATAGGGAAGAAGGTAGGACTTGCATGAAACATGAATACCTCGCCAACCTTTTGTCCAATTTCCAAATCATTCCCTTGGTTCATAGATACCACCAGAGAGAGAGTTGCCATCTACCTAAAGGTAAAAGTGGTAGTCTTCAAGGAAATGTCACTATCCTTCCTGAATGTTACTAGTCTTGGACCTCAAGTATTTCACCATCACCAGCAAATATACCCTTGCATGATACTGATTGCATTTTACATCTGCCTGTAAGAACATGTTAAGTAGCACCTTAGTAGAACACACTTGTAAAATTCAGCATCCAGCAATCTTTTTCTAATGCAATGTTTACTGTAGAATAAAGTGTATTTAATTGTCAACTTGTTTAATTGTAAGATAGGTAGAGGACTTTGAGTACATATGAGGAATTGTTTTATTGATTGGAGCCAGGTTCTCCCTTATTATGATCCATGGTTTGTTAGTGTCATACCTGTGGGGTCCACCAAAGTGGGTTGTGTTGTGTCCTCCTGACTCTGTGATTGTTGGTACAGTATATCGATGCTCTGACAGGTTGTATTGTGTCCTTACGACTGTGTGATTGTTGGTACAGTATATCGATGCTCTGAGAGGTTGTGTTGTGTCCTTACAACTCTGTGATTGTTGGTACAGTATATCGATGCTCTGAGAGGTTGTGTCCTCCTGACGCTGTGATTGTTGGTACAGTATATCAATGCTCTGAGAGGTTGTGTTGTGTCCTTACAACTCTGTGATTGTTGGTACAGTATATCGATGCTCTGAGAGGTTGTGTCCTCCTGACTGTGATTGTTGGTACAGTATATCGATCCTCTGAGAGGTTGTATTGTGTCCTGACTCTGTGATTGTTGGTACAGTATATCGATGCTCTGAGAGGTTGTGTTGTGTCCTTACGACTCTGTGATTGTTGGTACAGTATATCGATGCTCTGAGAGGTTGTGTTGTGTCCTTACAACTCTGTGATTGTTGGTACAGTATATCGATGCTCTGAGAGGTTGTGTTGTGTCCTCCTGACTGTGATTGTTGGTACAGTATATCGATGCTCTGAGAGGTTGTATTGTGTCCTGACACTGTGATTGTTGGTACAGTATATCGATGCTCTGAGAGGTTGTGTTGTGTCCTCCTGACTGTGATTGTTGGTACAGTATATCGATGCTCTGAGAGGTTGTGTTGTGTCCTCCTGACTGTGATTGTTGGTACAGTATATCGATGCTCTGAGAGGTTGTGTTGTATCCTTACGACTCTGTGATTGTTGGTACAGTATATCGTACTCTGAGAGGTTGTATTGTGTCCTTACGACTGTGTGATTGTTGGTACAGTATATCAATGCTCTGAGAGGTTGTGTTGTATCCTTATGACTCTGTGATTGTTGGTACAGTCTATCAATGCTCTGAGAGGTTGTATTGTGTCCTTACAACTCTGTGATTGTTGGTACAGTATATCGATGCTCTGAGAGGTTTTGTTGTGTCCTCCTGACTGTGATTGTTGGTACAGTATATCGATGCTCTGAGAGGTTATGTTGTATCCTTACGACTCTGTGATTGTTAGTACAGTATATCAATGCTCTGAGGGGTTGTGTTGTGTCCTTACGACTCTGTGATTGTTGGTACAGTATATCGATACTCTGAGAGGTTGTGTTGTGTCCTCCTGACTGTGATTGTTGGTACAGTATATCGATGATCTGAGAGGTTGTGTTGTATCCTTACGACTCTGTGATTGTTGGTACAGTATATCGAAGCTCTGACAGGTTGTATTGTGTCCTTACGACTGTGTGATTGTTGGTACAGTATATCAATGCTCTGAGAGGTTGTGTTGTGTCCTTACAACTCTGTGATTGTTGGTACAGTATATCGATGCTCTGAGAGGTTGTGTTGTGTCCTTACGACACTGTGATTGTTGGTACAGTATATCGATGCTCTGATGAGAGTCTGTGTTATATCCTTACGACTCTGCGATTGTTGGTACAGTATATCGATGCTCTGAAAATCTGTATGGAGCGACATGTGGAGATCACTGAAGACCTTGCAGATAAACTGACACCAGAGAAGGTAGAGGGTGAGAACGACACGATGGACCGGCTGAAGATCCTGGAAGGTATAGCCGATGTGTGCATGCACCAGGGACAGTACCACATCGCCACCAAGAAGTTCACCCAGGCTGGCAACAAGATGAAGGTAGGACATGTGGGAGGAGGATGTCTTGTGTAGCATAGTTTGTGTCACCTGTGTTATGTGGTGAAATATTGTTGACTAAGCATTAGTCCCCCTCTCATTACTCAGTCTAGTACATTCCCAGACGACCTGTGAAGATCTGGGTTAGAATTGGCCTCATGCTTGTCTAAAGATGCGACTAACGGTTAGAGTGGTCAAACTTGCTGACTTGGTTAATGCGTGTCATGATATCCCAGTTGTATAGATCGATGCTCATGATGTTAATCACTGGATTGTTTGATTCATACACCATTATTTACAGACTGCTGTTATTACGTAAAATAATGAGTTACTTTAGCCACTGCCTAACATGGCTTGTGGAAAAAGAGTCAGGATTGGGGACATGTCATAGCTCATCAAACAACTGTTGCCATGATTATTTAAGATGTTGTAAGTACTCTTTGTTGTGTTCAGGCTATGAAAGCACTGTTGAAGTCGGGTGACACTGAGAAGATTGTGTTCTTCGCTGGTGTGTCTCGTCAGCGGGAAATCTATGTGATGGCAGCTAACTATCTCCAGTCTCTTGACTGGAGAAAGGACCCCGAGATCATGAAGAGCATCATTGGCTTCTACACAAAGGGCCGGGCACTCGACTTGTTGGCAGGATTCTACGATGCATGTGCTCAGGTACACAATAAATGATAATATGCTATTCACGCTGACTTTTTCTAAATTAAATCTTAATTAAAATTTTTTTTGTGTGTGTAGAATACAGCTTAAATAGTGATATTACTATTATTATTATTATTATTATTATTAGACTCTAATAACAGGAATTTTTATCATACTCATAACAGATTACCGATATCTGAGGGCTAGTACAAGTCATCTGGGCTGGAAAAATATCCAAATTTCCCCAATGTTTTAACAATACAAGGGCATTTAAAGCTTCTGAGTTAAGTTCTAAACCTGGATATCTGATCTGAGCAATATAGATATGTGAGATTATGTTTATTTTAAGTCCGATATGGATAGACATGAAAAGCTTTTTTGTTTGTTTCTACTTCCTAGAGACAGTAGAGTGACAGGTAACAGATAAGTTCTGTCTGTCGGTGTTTTTGCATTCATAAGTAGAGAGAGAGACTAGAAATCATGTCCATGCGTAGCCACTGTGAGTGGGATTATCATTCACAGCTGAGATAAATAAGACAGTACAACTTTTTCCTCTTGGTATTATGTGCATCAAGACGCAATCATATTGTGACTAGTGGAACTGAAAGATGGACATTTGAGATGTATTATACATGTATTGTCATTGTAAGTGATTCCCTGTGTGTCTATCCAAGGTGGAGATAGATGAGTATCAGAACTACGACAAGGCGCTGGGGGCCCTGGGGGAGGCCTACAAGTGCTTGAGTAAAGCGAAGGTGGCGGACGAGACTCAGCAGGAGGAGAAACTGGCGCACCTCAAACACAAGATGACACTTATCAAGAAGTTTGTGCAGGCCAGGAGGTTGGTTTTCTTTGCATGCTGTTATGTAAACATGGGGCGATACGTAGGGTTTATTATATGACAAAAAATCTCAGTAGATCTAGAGGACTTTACTTTATTTGTTAGTATTATTCATTTTATTATTGACTGATCATTTTTGATGAACCAAAAAATTAATTGTGCAAACTGTATGAATAGACATAGCTGCATATCTCTTGACCAGTAATGGTTATGGTTAGTTAGACTCAGGTCAGGGTTAGATTTAGGATCAGATTTAGGGTCAGAGTCAGGGTTAAATTTAGGGTCAGGGTCAAGGTTAGGGTCAGGGTTAGACTCAGAGTCAGGTTAGATTTAGGATCAGGGTCAGACTTAGGATCATGGTCAAGGTTAGATTTAGGGTCATGGTCAAGGTTAGATTTAGGGTCATGGTCAAGGTTAGATTTAGGGTCAGGGTCTGGGTTAAATTTAGGGTCATGGTTAAGGTTAGACTTAGGGTCATGGTCAAGGTTAGATTTAGGGTCAAGGTTAGGGTCAGGGTTAGACTCAGAGTCAGGTTAGGTTTGGGATCAGGGTCAGACTTAGGGTCATGGTCAAGGTTAGATTTAGGGTCATGGTCAGGGTTATATTTAGGGTCATGGTCAAGGTGAGATTTAGGGTCATGGTCAAGGTTAGATTTAGGGTCAGGGTCTGGGTTAGATTTAGGGTCATGGTCAAGGTTAGACTTAGGGTTGGAGTCAGATTTAGTGTAAGGGTTAGGGTCAGGGTTAGACTCAGGGTCAAGGTTAGATTTAGGGTCAAGGTTAGATTTAGGGTCAGGATCAGGATTAGATTTAGGGTCAGGGTCAGGGTTAGATTTAGGGTCAGGATCAGTGTTAGATTTAGGGTCAGGTTCAGGTTCAGGATTAGATTTAGGGTCAGGTTCAGGTTCAGGATTAGATTTAGGGTCAGGATTAGATTTAGGGTCAGGGTCAGGGTTAGGATCAGGGTTAGATTAAGGGTCAGGATTAGATTTAGGGTCAGGGTCAGGATTACCATCAGTTACAGTCAGGGTCAGGCATAGGTTGAATTTTTTCCAGTTTACTTACATATTCCAGTTTACTTACACTGATATCATTTGTGCTTCCTTCTTTGTAGTTATATCCTAAGTACTGCTTCATTTCATGAAATTTCAAGTGAAATTAATAAAATGACTCAAATCTGCACTGAATATTAATCAAAAGAATCATTTATAAACTGAAATGAAAATTGAGTAACATTGCTTCCAGAAGAAATGAACACCACATTTCAACTATTAACATTATCCTACCAGTCCCTCATCTCAGATATCCAAAGGGACATTGGACGCCGTCTGAGGCACCTCAACTCACCATCCAGACTTATCTCCCTTAGCTGCAAGGATCTGCCACTCATAGGGGTTCCAATCCCAGTCTCTCTGATCATAATGAAGCTCTGTCGACACTATTTCCTCAGTTCTAAATTGACTGTGACCCAAATCACTTTTGGGCTTTCCTCTACTATGAAGATGACACACTGTTCAAAACGGCATTAAATTCTCTCACATATCAGAAAGCATACGTAAGGTTGTGCATGGTATCGATATGTAATAATGAAATATGTATGAGGCTGTTGATTTATTTCATCAACATGTGTTTTCTGGTTGCCAGGGTGTACGAGGAGAACTCGGAAGAAGCCATGAAACAGTGCCAGGTGTTGCTGGAGGAGACCGACCTAGACAGTGGGGTTCGTGTTGGGGATGTCCTCGGCTTCATGATTGAGCACTTTGCCAGGAGGGAGAGATGGAAGGCGGTTAGTATAGCATGCAGTCAGTTACATATTTCTATCCTCCAATGTGAATTGACCACAAGTGAATAGAGCGTCTGCCTGGAGATCGGAAGGTTGGTGGTTCGATCTCCAGCCGTGTCATGTCTAAAGACGTTAAAAGATGGTACTTGTCACCTTGTGTCATTATTCTGTAACTGAGGAGGTATTCATGTTAAACAGAGGCATGGTATCTCAGTGGGCTAGCATTATTCTGTAACTGAGGAGGTATTCATGTTGAACAGAGGCATGGTATCTCAGTGGGCTAGCATTATTCTGTAACTGAGGAGGTATTCATGTTAAACAGAGGCATGGTATCTCAGTGGGCTAGCACTATATATCAGCATCAGTCCGGACTAGTACAAGCAGCCACACACACATGTTGGTATATAAGTGCAATAATCTTGTTTGCGGTGTTACACCCCATTTTACCTTATTTTACAACCTTTCACAACCTCCTGTCAATTCCAGGAAGAATAGGTTCTCAAGCATCTCATAATTATTGAGTCATATAAAGAGGATTGGATAGTCGGACGAGGTGGCTTGACTGATTGCATGGATCATTGTCTAAGCTTTCAGTGACATTTACAAGCTGTTGTGTCATAGATGGAATGGTGCTGATTGTGGTATAAAGCAACAGAACGAACAAACAGTTTACTTCATGTATCTTCAGAAAGTCAGTCGGTCAGCACAAGTCAGTCGTTGAATTACTTATTGTAAGATCAGATGCAGTGTTTTGTTTAGCATGGTGACAACAAGTTGTAGTTAGAAATAACTGTGTTTCTATTGTTAGCTTTACCTTTGTCATTTCTCATTGAGTATTTTCACAATCAACCAGACATGGAAGTGTGTCTTGAGAGACAATACTAACACCAGAGTTTCAGTCCATTCATCAATAATTCTATTTCCAGGCCTACTCCAGCCTTGAAGAATTGCGCAGTAGGTTAAAGGGAGGTAACCCTGCTTACTATGTTAACACAAGAACAATAGAGGCAATTCATCAAGCACTCGATGTTCCACTGTCACGGACCATTGATCCTGACAAGATGAATGGCTTCCGCAGTCCTGAAGACGAGGAGGGAGACTTCATTGAGGAGGATGTTGCGGATGACACGTATGGTCACAACGTATGATAGCTAGATGACTCTCTGACCCAGGTTTGAGTGGGCCAACTGTACATATGTGCACATGGGGTAACGAACAGTCTGGGTATGGGCACTTCTGTACAAGGACACAATGTGGAAATCTTAACTTTATGGAAGTCTCGAGTTGCTAGGAGAAAATCGTTACTATAAACTGTGATCACAAGCAGTTCTATATATTTTTATAACTTTTCCAATATAATTGCCTCTAACATAACTCAGACACCTCTAATCAAAAAGCTGTCCAGTAATCTGATCTGGTTTGTATGACTGGGAAACAAGCAGATTTTGTTACATTTGTGAAGCAAACATAATGTTATAATGTGACTTTTACAAATTCCAAGTAACTCCATGGTTACATGACGATGACGTTTATTTCTACCATAAATGATATGTGTGCATAAAGGTAAATTTACTTGATGGACAACGGATGCCACATTGACAATAGACGTTGTGAGGAACTTAGTGAATGACATTATGTACATGTATGCATTGTTATAGTTATAATATCTGCTGAATTCCTGGGATTTGAAAGCCAGCTTGTTTTTTCATGTATTAACTCCCTAGCCCCAATATGTTCAGATGAAATATTCAACATTAATTGTTGTATCTGTAGGTAGCCATTAACTTCAGAAACTCTAGTTCAGTTAATTTGTTACCTGATATATTACCTGAGGTTTCACGTGTTAAATGTTGATAGTTTGTTCAGGAAATCCTCATGGCTCCGTGGACCAATTGCACCGTTAGGATTTAACTGATGAAGATCCTGGTTGTAGATGGTAACTCATGTTTCAGTGCTGATGTTAACTTGACTGTGATACTTAGTGAAGTTTATCTCATAATACAATCTGGTGACATGATCAGTAATAAAGAATATGGCATATATGCATATCATTGAATTCCTAGTGAAAATCAACAGCTGATATATGTGATAAAGTGCTGGGTGAGATGGAGGCAAGGTTATCAATGTAGTTGGAGATTGTGTTGTATCTTGTGTTTATGGTATCAAAAATACTTACATCAAACTATTGATTCTGGTATTTGTATCAAGTAAAGATTTGAGATTGGGAGTTTCTTTTTTCAGCTTTTGTTGTCCTATTTACATTTAAAGTACACCATTTCCAATCTGTTGCATAGAAAATGCAGAACAGCTCAGATACTGTTTTGTTATTTACACTAACCTTGTGCTTGGTTGTCTTAAGCACTGACAGAAAATGGTTTATGATATAGTGTCTTTGAATGGTTGTAACAGTCTACCATATTCAGGATTTTTTAAACACATGTGATAGCAAAACGTTATTGGTGCCTTTTTCAGTCACGAGAATATAATTATATGTGTCGTGATGGGGTGAATCTCATACACACTGATTTTTATATCCATTTACTTACAGCCGTCCACTCTCAATGTAATTATAGTAATTCCTGCAGTGTCAGCACAGTGTCAGGTGCAGCAATAGTTTAGTGTTATTGTTCCAGTCCTAATAGTGGCAGGGAAATCACTCAATTATTTATTTAACCTCAGCTGGGTACCGAGATTTAGTTTTTCAATGTAATATTTTCATTTGTGGAATTAATAAAATGCCAATAAGATATATTAATAATAAAGCTGTTGATATTTTGGGATGATTATGGATTCAGCTTGGACATGTCAAAGATGAGTTTTCGTTATTAGAAAATGCAATAATCAATGTGGGCTACAAATTGTTTCTTGTATATATCCATCAAATTAAGTTATACACTAATTCATGGTCACACATTCATGGTTTTCTAAATCTTTTCAACACTGACATGGTCACAAATAAATATTGGCTTGCCAGAAATGTCCGTCCTAGTTATATAGATCTATATAGTTCCTCTTGTTATCAAAACATACACAATAATGTTGAAATGTTATGGAAAGCTATGTTCAAAATGTGTGTGAAGTTTTTATTTTTTAAACATTGTTCTTTACATCATACATTCCATGATGTATGTAATTAATATTTTTGTTTAGCATATACAAGGATTTCATCATACATAAAGTTGTGATATAGTTATTGATCATTTGTGAATATATTATGACATCATATTCCTTGTTCAGCGATTGCTGTTAGATTCATTACTTCTGTGATTTCATATTACAAGGTTTTGTAAACGTTTGGAGTCACACTGTACATAGGAGTGATGTGTAAGATAATTCACTTTGTTAACAGAGGCCATATTTCCAATACACATATAAACCCAGTTGCTATACCGTAAGTAACTAAAGGGTAGTAGTCCACATCAGCCGCTGTTTGCAACCAAGTACTAATATGTACTTCTTTTTATTGTTTTAATTGTGGACTGTTGGACTTACTTATGTCTGTATATTCACTTTGTTTATACTCATTTCACTCTTTAAAGTGTGATACTCAATATCTTTGTGATGATAACACTAATTAATAATAATGATAATTGATTAATAAACCGACATGTCATTTCGTACAGGTTAACAGAGACATGGCATGATTGTGGGCCCTTCATTTGAACTTGAATCTCAGCAGGAGTTTCTTCGAAAGGTTGAGTCTCAAAGAATATATTGCTGTTGTGGATTATAAATCAATTTTGTCAAAGATGTTAATATTATGCTTTGTTAAACGCCTTACCTGCAAGGGTGTTGCTGCCAAGAATGGAATCATGCCGTCCTTTTGTGTGCTTTGTATATCCTGTATTTTGTATATGAGTTATTCATATTTGTTGACTGACAGACATTTACTATAACAATAAATCAACCTGAGTGATGTTCGTGTTGTGTGATCTGTCTCTCGAGGTGTTAAGTGTGATTATACGCAGATAATATTTTTAGTAGCATTTTGTTCCACAAACATCAATTTACCAGCACTTGTCTATGGCACCGCAATTTGCTGTACAGAGTTACGTACCTTAGGCGTGCCAGAATCCTATGATTATGGGGTTGCATCCCACCTTTCCTCTCACATCCTGGATATAACTAAAATACTGTCCAAAGCCGGGATAAATCAAACTTGTTTATTCATAACAAACAAATTAGGTCAAGGCCATTGGATTAATTAGTTGTTTTTTAAAGGAACTCGTTAAGAGATTGTGATTGATGGGGTGTTTTAATTCCTTGATAGGATATGAATGATTTTGTTTGTTGTTGAACGCTGCACTCTGCAATATTCCAGCTATATGATGGGGGTCTATATGTAATCAAGACAAGACAATCCAGTGATTGACATCATGAGCATCAATCTACGCAATTGGGGTACGATGACATGCATCAACCAAGTCAGCAAGCCTGACCACCCAATCCCTTTGTCGCTTTTTACAACAAGTCTTACGTAGTCAGCACAGTCACTTTTTACAGGCAAGCATGGGTTGCTGAAGACCAATTCCAACACCGATCTTCACAGGTAAGGATATGAATGAAGTTGTGTTGGTATATTTATGTATATCATTTACTGTTAGTAGATTCCTGTCAGACAAGATAGCTTTTTTGATTTTGATACAAAGGTTTTTTGAATTAAGTAAAAGTTGTTTTTGATTGCCATTTAAATAAACAACAACTTGCTTTAGTAGGCTTTTGTGGATTAATAGATTCTCAGCAATCTTTACCTGTATTTCAAGGCCAGAAGATAAATTTGGTGGTCAGGCTCAGCGATTTGGTTGGTTGCATGTCATTGTACCTAGACTGTGTGAGATGTTGCTCATTTTATCAATCACTGGTTTGTCTGTCCCAGACTTAATTATATACAGGTTTCCATCCTATAACAGGAATATTGCTGAGTGCAACAGTCAACAAACACGTGACATGGGCTGTACAGATACACTGTTTGTACAGAACACTGGTCATTTGATAGCTTGCAAACTGTTTCCCTAATATAGTCATTTAATATTATCAGTCTTCAGGTTTCAGTATACAAATTCTGAGTCGAAGCTATATTAAGGTATATGAGTGGGCACACGACACAGTCACATTACAATACTTTTTAATTAAAATGTTCTAGAGGATGAACATGGCTTTACACAAGTCCAGCAATATCAGGATGGGGGACTCCAGGAATGGGCTTCACACATTGTACTCCCTGTTCGCTCTGATTATGTTGCTAGGTTTGTCAGCATCATTCCCATGCTCGTGGGTTTCACCGAAGTGGTAAACGTTTAAGGCCTGCATCACTTCGGGCTTTCCTCCCACATTAAGCTGACACACCGTGATATAACTGGAATAATGTTAAAAGCGGTGTTAAACCCAACTCACTCACTCACTACATCTATGTTAACATGATTAACCTGACACATTGTGATACAACTCACTCATTCACACACTCACTCTCACTCACTCACTCACTCACTCACTCACTCACTCACTCACTCACTCTCTCTCTCTCTCTCTCTCACACACTCACTCAGTCACTCCAGAGGCAAGGTAGTGAGCTGACTATATAAGTCCAGTTTCCACCCTTGCCAAACTAGGCTGGAATTACCAGGCTCGATCGTAGCGCCACCAGTGGGTGGAAGGGTGGAAACTGGACTTCTATAGTCAGTTAAACTACCCTGCTTCGGGAAGATGCCAGTCGCCATGAGATGCGACTGAATGGGTCGGGTGGTCAGCCACGGTGACTTGGTTGGTTGTCTGGTCCAGACGCGATTATTTACAGGCCGCCGTCATATAGCTGGACTGTTTCTGAGCTCGGCGCTAAACAACGAAAAATACCCACAAGGAGGCTGACGTCGGAGCAGGGTTTAACGCCATCTGTGGTGTTGTTTAGTTGACGTCAATGCGGTAATTGATTCTAAAGATTTATATTAGCAAGCGCGCATCTCCATAACCATCCCCGTTATTGGTCGTTCATAACACCTGTTCAAATATTGAGCCATGGCTAACTGACTTTTTTTATTAAGACGATCTGTGTGTTTACCGTGCCGAATATATTTATGTGACATCGATGAAACGTCTAGCTGGGAGGGTGGTATAGTACGCCCTTTACAAGTCACATGTGTTAAGCACACTATTGTTCATGCTTATAGGCTACATGACACAACCAGGCAGCATGTTTCAGCAGGCGTCATCGTGACTAGGCTTTCCCTGTTGATACAAATTGACAAAATTGGCTACATCGCTGTCATCACGTATCTCCACCTGAAAGGGCTAACTCCATTATGGTGTTAACTATGTTAGGGTGTGATGCCCCTACCCTTGTCACTGTTAAGAGGTGGGCGGCGGAGTTGAAGAGGAGAAGAGAGAGCCTCGAAGATGATCCTGGATCAGGAAGATCTTCAACTGCCACCATTAAAGAAAATGTTGCTAAAATACATGATGTTGTTATATGCGCTTGGCGACGCGCCACACGTGACATGAAAGATGGTACTTGTTGTTACCCTGTCTGGCGCTCGGCATTAAGGGGCTAAAACAAGGACTGTTCGGCTCGGAGTCAGTATACCGTGTCTGAGTGGGGTATTCATGTTAAATTGCGGCATGGTACTCAGTGAGCTAGCACTATAAATCGGCATTAGTCCGGAACACACACACACACACACACACACACACACACGTGCATGTACGTCGCTATATAGTGCAAAGGTCTTGGGGGTGACGTTCAACCCCATTTTACCTCACATCACCTCATGAGAGAGTTGAGAACATTCTGAGGAAGGAACTGGACATGACAAAGGTTTCAGCATGCTGGGTTCCAAGGCCTCTGAATCCTGATCAGAAACGCTCCAGATTTGTTGAGCAATGTGTACCCATGGTTGAGTCTTGGGTTCACCGCCATCAGCCAGAGACTAGACAACAGACAAAGCAGTGGAAACATCTAACGCCTCCCCCGACGAAGAAGAAGGCAAAAAGGAAAAGTAATGACTTCAGTTTTCTGGGATTCGAAAGGAATCCTACTGGTTGACTAAATGTTGTGGCAAACACACTAAAGGTGTGTTGTTCCACAAGCGAAATTCAAGTCTTTGTCGCCATAGCTGCAATGCGTGACCATGGCTTTGAACTCTTTGAACATCCTTCGCATTCATCATATTTTGCACCGCCCGATCTCCACCTTCTCCCAAACCTGAAGAAAGAACAGTCTGGCAAGCATTATGCAAATGACGATGACGTCATTTGTGCTATGAAGGACGTTACACACCACCAGGAGGAAGCACTCTCCAGCAGATGGGCCCAGACAAGCCAGCATCGTTGGCAGAAGTATGTGGTCCTCGGAGGGGATTATGCTGCTAAATAATTAGCAACTCCATCAACGCAGTCCATCAGAGTCAGGCTTAGAGCTTTTCAGCCAGCCTTCCTACATTATATACCCTTCGTACACGCTTTCTCTCTATATATATACTCTTCAAAAGAAGAAACGCAATACGGATATTTTTGGCCATAAATGCAAAATTAGCGGACCAAGAGGTGCAAAATGAAGAAGTTTAATGTGTTATAGTGTCAGTGACAAATATTCCGGATCAAAATGATCACAACAAGGACATGCAAACCATTAGTCGGGAAAAACGTACGATTCGGAAAAACGCACCCATTGCATTAACAAAAGGGCCATGGAGCTGCACGCACTCTCTGACACTATAACACATTACAGAGAGACGCCCTGGAACAAAATGTAGGTAGGGTAGCCAGGTGGATTAAGCGTTCGTTCGTCATTGCGAAGGGCCAGTTTCGATTCCCAACAATGGTACAAATTGTGAAGCCCATTCCTGGTGTTCCTCGCCGTGTTATTGTCGGGATATTGCTAAATGAGGCATAACACCCTAATCACTCACCCCTAACGTTCAGACCATGTACGATTTATTTATAATAATTATAACTGAAATCACACAAACACTACCCACACAATCGTATATTAGATTAATCCTTTCATAAGCAACGATCGGTGCATATTAAATTTCCTCAAGATAAACAGGCTCTTGATGCGTGTGATAAGAGCGCGTGCGCAATATCGATTACCGCCGGCACAGCTGTCAGTGACGTAGCGTACAGGAGACGTTCGCCTTTCTATCAGTTATATATCGATCTCGAGGCTACCAACACACATCCAGCTTTCTACACCACCAAATGTGTGTCAACCCTCAAATGAGCGTGACAGAGGGGTATGGAGACACTGACACTTAAACAAGTGAAGAGAAGACGTTGATACCTCAAGAACTGCTGCCAGAAGGTAGGTCATCTTTGCGAATACTCCACATACGCCTCCATTGCACGGCAGTCCCCTAGCGTAAGATGTCGAAAGTCGTATGATGTGAACTGTGTATTTGTCACAGATGTATTTACCGTTAGGTTTTCATTTTTTGTAGTATTAATATGTTCAGTTATTGGAATTCGTTACACAATTATGTATCGTTTTGTGTATGTTTTGAATTAGTGAATACATTGTCAAAGGTAACATTACATTTAGTTTAGCTTTTAAAATTATTGACCTTTAATGTGTGCGCGGAAACCGTACCTATAAACCCCCAGCTAGCTATAGATTTTACCACACTGGCGAATATCTTATGAGCAATACAAACAAATGCAACATCTGGGGCCGATGAATTAGATAAACGAAATGTACTTAATTCAAATAGTTATACAGTTCAATGATGTCGTTAAACTTCAGATAACTGAATGTGCATAGCCTCAGTTCTCGACATTGAGCACGCTTGGTGGTAAATACAACTAAGTATCAACCTTAGACAACAACAGGGCAACCCACCTTCCTCATTTCATTCATTAGTCAAAGTATATATTATTCATCTTGAAATGTAGGTGTTGGTAGATAAATTGCCTGCCAACTAATGGTTGATTGTCATGCACTCCAAATGACATTTTCAGAATCTAAACTCTGTCACCAAAGCTAAAATTTCTTCAGTTACTGATTAGAATGTTTATTAAGGGATAGTGCCCAATGAGGAGAAATCTGCAATCAGCTGATGCGGTTGTGTAGCTGGATTCTCTCCATGCGCTGACATGGCGGGCTTAACATGGTTACTTCTGAATCAATATTTTCCGTCAATAATTGCGCGGAGAGCTTGCAATGAACAAACTCCCCCCTTTAAACCCCGTTTATAGCTGACAGCCGGACCTCACTGTAGCTCCCGTCGTTGTTAAACGTCGTGCATTCACGAGAAGAAGGACTTGGATAGACCCACGAATCTACTTGAACCAGGGCCTGTGCATAAGGTAGGAGTTGCAGCAGCGGTTAAGTCACTAACGATCGTATATATATTGGGAGTTCCCGATAACCCCTCTTTTCGACCAAACACCTTCTATTGTTCTCCGACAGCATTGAAAGGTTGCACGAGTGGTCTCACTCGAACCCAGGTCCTTTATAACAATTATAGAGTACCGTTAATGTTAAGACATACCCCTCCGTGACTGATAACATTCAGTTTGGATAATGGCAAAATGTGCAGATAAAGAGAAGGATCTGGCACTCTGATAAATGCATTTTTTTCTGAATCATCTATTTTAAACATGACTCATCCACGTCTTGCAACGAAGATGGGCCCTTTGTTTAGCGAGGATAACGCCCATCTGTTCTTTTGTTCTGGTGATGCGTGTTTCGGTGGAACTCTGTATGGCACTGAAGTATATCTAATATGCATACACAGAGTAGCCAGTGAGAATTGATTGTGTAGATTACCTTGGAGAACAGTCATCCCCGTTTTGTATGTTGTAATGGTTTAATGTATGTTTAATATATATGTAACAATTCATAATTCATTGCAACCGAAGTATCTACACACAAAATGGTTATCCACGATGTCATTAAAAAATGTCATGTAGATAACCGGTTTAAGAGACCAATTAAAGCCAAAGGACTCCACAGACACATTTCACTCGGTATCTTGTGAAGATTCCACAGCATAAGCATTGCTACTAGTGAGTGAGTGAGTTGGGTTTAACGCCGCTTTTAACAGAATTCCAGTTATATCGCGGCGTGTCAGCTTAATGTGGGAGGAAAGCCCGAAGTGATGCAGGTCTCAGACGTTTACCACTTCGGTGAAACCCACGAGCACGGGTATGGTGCTGACAAACCTAGAAACATAATCGGGGCGAACCGGGATTCGAACCCACAATCATAGGTTTCTGGCGTACCCAAGGGACGCAACTCTGTACAGCGAATCGCGGCGCCTTAGACGACTGGGCCACCCATGCCCCCCATTGCTACTAAGAAACTCTTCAATTAAAGTATTTATTGATGTATTGTGTAAATTAGAACAATCTGTTTTAGCGTCAAATTCCGTTTAGGTAGGCAGGTTGAGATTTTTTCATTGATTCATTACCTATTTAATCACCTGTTTTACCATTCATAGAATCTATATATTGTCGTAGTACCCGTGTAGGTACTGTCGGAACATGTTGAGTGATGACTGGAGAACATGTGTATTATGTGCGGAATGTGGACCGCTCATCGTTATAAGCTCGGCTACAATCTAAGCCCTACTGTAAGACAGATGCCAGATGTCAGGTGATCGCCAGGCCGGTCTAGACCTGGGGCAGGATGCTGGGACCATCAGAGGTACATAGCGTTATCAGTGAACATGCCCAGCATCCTCGTTTCATGAATGACTTGCTCGGTACAGGATCAGGTGGAATAAATACCGTATTGCCCACGATAAGATTTACTCAGTGTGTTTAAGTGCATAAGCCCAATACCGGAGTAGTCCTGTGCCATGACTGTGGAATTTATATTTTTAAGGGTTTTTTTTACTACAAGCCTAGGCAAGTCTAGATCAAACTAACCAAGTCCACATATGAAAGCAGCAGAAGAGGAAATGTTCTTTCGGAGAAAAAAATATATGATTATCTTAACGATGTTTTCATTGACTAAGTGTTAGTCTAAATACCAAAGGAACTAGATTAGAAATGTCCATTTCATGACTATTTGTATTTATTGTGCATAATAAGACCTAATCAAGAGAACGATAACCTAAATCAAATGTCATCGAGGCATCAAGCCACAAAGGTAGGGGTAGATGACAGATTACCTGGGATGTTGGAAATAACGACGTATATCATTAGAATAGGTATTGTATCTATTATTACGCCCTATGAAATAGGATGCAAATTTCATCTCCAAGAACAGGGTAGGTCATTAATAAGGTATCCCCTTTGATACACAAGTATTATATATTCACTTCAAGTCGGTAGATCTCTTCACTACCATATGGTAGGTGTTATTCTCTGTAAGGCGGTAGGCACTATCTCTTTACTGTCATATGGTAGGTGTTATTCTCTGTAAGGCGGTAGGCATTATCTCTTCACTACCATATGGTAGGTGTTATTCTCTGTAAGGCGGTAGGCATTATCTCTTCATTATCATATGGTAGGTGTTATTCTCTGTAAGGCGGTAGGCATTATCTCTTCACTACCATATGGTAGGTGTTATTCTCTGTAAGGCGGTAGGCATTATCTCTTTACTTTCATATGGTAGGTGTTATTCTCTGTAAGGCGGTAGGCATTATCTCTTCACTACTATATGGTAGGTCTTATTCTCTGTCAGGCGGTAGGCTTTATCTCTTTACTATCATATGGTAGGTGTTATTCTCTGCTCCAATTATGTTATATGGGGCTGAAATGTGGAGTTTTGAAAACTGCAAGGAAATAGAAAGTATCCATGTACTTGCTTGTAAACGTCTGCTAGGTGTTAAAACGTCTACTCCCAATCATGTTGTGCGAGGCGAGTGTGGAAGATACCCACTGTACATTTCTGCGTATAAACGCTGTATAAAATATTGGTGTAAACTTATGTCCCTACCAAATTCACGATATCCTAAGAAAGGTTATGATATGTTATTTCAGCTAGCCACACATGGTAAAACTAATTGGGCTACAAAAGTCAAAACGCTTTTATACAGCCTTGGATTTGGATATATATGGGAGAACCAATATGTTATTTGCCCCGAATCATTTATTTCCGAATGTGAAGATCGGTTAAAATTTGCTTACGAACAGGACTGGCATTGGTCTTTAGCAAATAGTTCTAAAATGTTCCATTATACACTTTTCAAAAATTCATTCAGTCTAGAGTTGTATTTGTCTGCTATCACTATCAACAAATTTCGTGTTGCACTAGCCCAGTTTCGCTGTAGCTCCCACACTCTCCATATTGAAACTGGTAGATACGTTAATACTCCACGAGAGCAGAGATTGTGCAATAGTTGCAACCAAAGATATGTCGAGAATGAATATCATTTTTTATTAATTTGTAACGCTTATGATGAACTTCGTCTTCAGTATTTACCACAGAAGTATTTTGTACATCCTACTCTTGCTAATTTCAATATGCTTATGGCAGTAAACAATGAAACTGTAATTAGAAATGTTGCAACTTTTATATACCATGCTATGAATGTTAGACTCCAAACACTAAGCCTATAAATGTTAATGATGGACCGAATATTGTACCATGGGCCGCTGGCCTACACATGTACATGAATAAAGAAATTATTATTCTCTGTAAGGCGGTAGGCATTACTCTTCATTATCATATGGTAGGTGTTATTCCCTCTATTGCTGTAGGCATTATCTCTTCATGATCTTTTGGTAGGTGTTATTCCCTCTATTGCTGTAGGCTTTATCTCTTCAGTATAATATGGTAGTTGTTATTCCCGGTAAGGCGTTTGGCATTATCTCTTTACTATCATACGGTAGGTGTTGTTCCCCCTATTGCTGTAGGCATTATCTCTTCATGATCTTTTGGTAGGTGTTATTCCCTCTATTGCTGTAGGCATTATCTCTTCATGATCTTTTGGTAGGTGTTATTCCCTCTATTGCTGTAGGCATTATCTCTTCATGATCTTTTGGTAGGTGTTATTCCCTCTATTGCTGTAGGCTTTATCTCTTCAGTATAATATGGTAGTTGTTATTCCCTGGAAGTTGGTTGGCATTATCTCTTTACTATCATACGGTAGGTGTTATTCCCTCTATTGCTGTAGGCATTATCTCTTCATGATCTTTTGGTAGGTGTTATTCCCTCTATTGCTGTAGGCTTTATCTCTTCAGTATAATATGGTAGTTGTTATTCCCGGTAAGGCGTTTGGCATTATCTCTTTACTATCATACGGTAGGTGTTATTCCCTCTATTGCTGTAGGCTTTATCTCTTCAGTATAATATGGTAGTTGTTATTCCCTGGAAGTTGGTTGGCATTATCTATTCACTGCAAGACGCGTGCGAAAACAATCCTTAAGTTGATACCTAGACATAGGCAGAACCAAGTGTGGATGTTAGCCTGTTGTTATTGCCAGGGAAGACCACTAATTACAGCTAGTTCAATGCATGGCCAGTCAGGTGGCAGGTGGCAGTGGTATAACCACTTTATCTCGCATCCCACACACCGTGTCCTATCTGGCTGCGGCTGTATCATTGATCTTTACAGTCCGCCAACACCGCGAACTAGCAATCTCTTCGCGACCTTGGCAGATAAACAATTAACCGTGTAGGTACTGATGCAGACAAACATACTCTGGGATGTAGGTGATACATTCATTGGTTTCCATGCCATTGTGTTGTATTGCTTGTCGTCATATATACAGGTTTTCTGTGGAATCATGTCAAATATATCGGCGCCATGTGATGTATTTCAATTATTGACTGAAAGTGCCCTTGTATTAAAATTATGCGATTATATATATATGCTTCAGGGCGTAAAGAGTGTCGGAATGAGACAGATTTCATTATGCGAATTGTCCATTCACATGATGTAATTATCGATAATTCCAGGTCATTCAAACGCAAAGTATGCTAGTGCATAAATAAGGTATGTATTGATAATATATAAACAGTATTGTCATAGTAACCGTGTGTTTTTTTCTCTTTGCTGTGTGGTTAGGGGATTACAGTGTTTCGTGAGTTTGTATGTAGCATTGATCACATTCATTTCGCATTCTAAACATGCCGAATTGACGAACAAACATCCCCACCCGATGGAATTGTATTTCGTGTACGTGGTACATGCGAGGTACAAACAGTGCCTAGGAGAGGAGACGGTCTGCATGAGCTCAATGGCAGAATGTCGATGCTCATTATTAAGGGGGAAACGATACACCGATATTCCGATGCATCGCGATACTTGACCCACGATACGATATACGATAAACGTAGGCCCATTTATCGATACGCCGCGATACGGAACGCAAATCTCAAGTACAGCGTTTCCTCGCTATTGTGCCTTTTA